CTCGGGTTGATCAGCCTTAGAGATGGACAGGAGATCTTCGGCGTTCCGAGAAAGTCCAGACTTGACCACTATCACATCCGATCGGGTCCTGATCTCGGCCGGCTCGTAGAATGGAACTATCCCATGGATCAGGAAATCGCGGGACAGCCGTTCGACGAACTTCTTATGCGGCTCTTTGGCGTCGATCAGGATGACGTCGGGGTGAACCCTCACGAAGCGATCGCGAAACTCCGCGTGGTCCTCCTGGGAGAGCTCCGGGATCTTGTTCGGGTCTTCCTCCATACGAGCTCGCCGAGAGGCGTATTGCGTTTGCAGCGCTTGAGCAGCTTGCCACACCGCCGCCAAGGACATCACGGAGAGCTCCTGTGCTGCCGCATCAGCCCCGAGCGGGGTCAAGTCATCTTGCCACAGCCGACGGATTGTCGCCTTCGCCGAGGTGAGATCCTGCCCCAGCATTGCGAACATCTCGACTGTGAGGAGACCTTTGTCGGCCGAGAGCCTGCAGAGGGCTGGATCTAGCCCCTGTCTCCCGAAGATCTGGCGCAGGTTCAGCTTCGGGGTCGCCGCCTCATTCGCGTATGCGGTGCGATCGACCATGGCTGCCTAACGAGCTGTCTGAAAAGAAAAGCTACGGTCAGGGAGAGGCTCAGCTCGAGTGGCCATCGTGACTGCGAACAGCTGTGTTCACGGCTCCGTAAAGATCTTACCGGAACACAACGAGCACATCTGAGTACTCGGCGGAATCTCGCCGAGATCCTCGCACTCGGTGATCGCGTACCGGCCGCAGAGCGTTCGCTCCGTGCCCGTACCATCTATATACATGGCATGATATTTAAGACTCAGATCCCTTGAGGACCCCGCAGCCGATCTAGCCTTGGTGACATAGGTCAGAGCGAGATCACCGAAGTCGACCAGATTGGTATCGTCGGCCTCGAACTCCGGTGGAGATTTCCAGTCGGATGCTATCCTCTTCGTGAGCCGCTTGACCATCTCGATCGAGATCTCTTTGCGGCTCCGAGCGTACTTCAGGACCAGCTGGCTTGGATCCTTCCAGTTCGCTTGGAGCCCGATCTCTTTATCGGGCTCCTGCGCCTGGACCGCCGCCGAGAGCAGCGTGACCCGGCAGGAGTGCCAGGTGATCTCCGGCACGATCTTCAGGAGCTCCTTGAGCCGCTCGGGCGAGATGTGCCCGCGCTTCAGATCGTCCGAAGCTGCAGTAGTGAGCACGTACCGCAGCCACAGGATGCTCCGTTGGTAGCTGGCAGGCCGATCGGCGAATCGCTCAGCCGATTCGAGCTCTTTCATGAAGTAGTCGCGATCGTCCATTTCGAACGCAGCTGCGTGCCATCCGTCTTCCATCCAGTCGGATCCGGAGACGGAGACTCTGGCCGCCGCGAACCGCGTTCCCTTCTTTTGTCGCTCGACCTTAGTCTGCCAAACCACCCCATAGAGAGCCTCGTCCTTCAGGGCGAGCGCCTCGGGCACGACGTGGAGCGCGTCGTCGAACCTGAGGGACGAGTAGATCATCACGAGAACCCACCATGCGAAGAACGCCATGGGGAATTGGCTCGACTTAAAACGAGCGCACACGAACCGCTCGAGCGCCGCCACCAAGATCAGAGGGATGGGAACCGCTTCCCTCGTCTCTTTCCCGCGATCGCCATAGACCTTCTTCTGCAAGGCCATGATCCGGGGATCGAGGAGGTCGGGCAACGACAAGCCGATCCGCTTGCAGATCCATTTGACCGCCCCACGTACCGAAGGTATCACGGTGGGGCCGCAACCTCTGTCGGAGAGATCTAAGAGGTACTTGACGAGCACGTCGGTAGTCAGCGGGATCACCGCTAGGTTCTGCGACCTCGCCCAAGTCTCAATCCTCTCCCAGTGACGAACGCACTGCTGGATAGTGCGGAAACCGCCACTCTCGAAGACGATCAACCTCAATGCATTCATCTCATCTTGGGACAGGGGTGATCCCGGCTTCGGGTTGCCCGCGATCGCGGCGTGCTCGCCGCACCTCTCCACGATCGCTTTCAGCCTCATGCCCCACTTTCGGGCCTCGCCGAGCTCACGGGTTTTGAGCGATGCCTGCGGATCTTCAGGCCTCGGCTCGATCGCCCGCGGCCTCTTGGCGAGCGGCAATGGCATAGGAGGCTCCTTGCCAGTCCCCTTCGACTTCAGCGGCGATCGCCCGAAGACGACCGGAGCTTCAGCCAAGCCGAATCCCAGATCAGTGGCCAGATCAGCCCAGCCCGCTGCTGCCGTGCTACGAACCAGCACAAACAACAGCTCGATCGACGGAACCCACCTGCCGAGCTCCTCCTCGTTCTTCCGCCGATCTGGCGTGTGGAGTTCCTCGAGGGCAGGGACAAGATCAATGAATGCTTGCACACACTCAGCGATCGTCCCGTCCGAAACAGCCGTGAGCTTCTCGAACTGAGCCATCCGAAGATCCACCAACCATTGGCAAAATTCATCCCCGAACAGGGGGAGAGATAGGATCTTCCGAACGGACCTATCCATGCTGGGCCTGAACAGCTGCACGAACGATCGCACGTGCCTGCTAATGGTAACCGAGCGCCGTGCCTGAGACAGGTATTGATCAATCTCACTTCCGGCAGAACATGCGCTGGGATCTAGCGCGCCGAGAGGATCGCTCGGCATGTTTGTTCCGCGGAAGAGCCCGGCTGATCCGCCAGGAGGCTTCGGTCGCGCGGCGCACCACTCTCTTAGGAGCGTGCACAAAAACCGACCATCACCTAGGCTTCGATCGACAACTAGTCTGTATTGTCCATCGTGTAGGGCCCCGTTGACGATCTGGCTGGCGGGTAGGCCGGGGCGAACGCCTTCGGCACCGTGGTCGTAGTGGAGGGGGAAGCCGTGATCTCTTGGCCCGTCTCCTCCACCCTGACCGTGCTGATCCGCTCGTACTCCGCCTGCTCACGGTGCTGGAGCACGTCGGTGAAAACCTGAGGCGTGATCGCAGCCGACGTGCGCGAGAATCGCATGTCGGCCCTCATGCGATCGCGGGCATCGGTGACGACCTCCTCGGCGATCTGCTCCTGGCCGAGCTGGCCCTCCTCCGGCACCGGAACAGTGCTCACCCTCTGGTCGAACACCTGCTGAGCCGAGGTGGGCATGTTGGTGAGCGCCGAAGTGACCGAGGAGCCCAGCTGCTGAACCGCCTGCCGAGCCGCCTCTTCCATGAGAGCCGGGGGGCCGTTCCGAGCTCGAACGGCGTTGTTCTCATCGTGCGACCGGTGGGCGAGCGCCTCCTGCCGGACGAACTCCAGTGGGCAGACCCTGAGCTTAGATCTAGCCCGTACGTGGAAGTTCCCATGATCCATCGGGAACTCGTCTGTCGCAGTTCCCACTTGCACCTGTTCGTTGGCGAACGCACTGTGGTACCAGGGGGCGATCACCGCAGACAGCTGCGCGAACTGCTGGATGTGGTCTGGACCTTCCACGCGAGCACGCTGGGTCCGACAGGCCTGGATCGTGCTGATCAGAGCGGGGCCCGAGATGTGGCTGACTGTGAGCCACGTGCCAGGCACCGAAGTCCTCCCGCACTTGAGATCGATCCGGTTGTTGGCGTCCCGGAACCGAAACTCAACACGATCGGCGTCGTTCCCATAGCCTTCTCGGGACGAGCGTTCTGTCACCCTGAGCTCACAGGTGCTCATGGCATGGTCGCTCGCCATCACTGCTCCTCTCGGGCCGATCGTGTAGACTCGGGCTCCAACCTCGAACGAGGTCACGGAGACCTTCCATCCAACGAAGACCGAGATGACGATCGAGGGTCGGAACCATCCTTCGTTGGCTGACCGGATCAACACCTCGTCGCAGAACTGCTGCTGGACAGAAAGATCCGAGTCCGAGCGGTAGCCCCTGAAGACCCAATGGAATAGGACCTCGTTTCCATTGACAAGACCTTCACATCCACATAGGTGGCCGAGGTGTCGAACATCACCGGCCAAGTGAAGGGCTGGAAAGCCGGGTGCGATAGCGCCCGACTCGCGTAGGAGTCCCACTGAGCACATGGTCCCCCTGTTTTCGAAGACATCGAAAAGAGCAGAACGGCCTTGATGCCATCGAGCGTATAGTTCGCGAACAGCGAACAGTGGTAGCCCGAGTTCGGGGGCATGACCGAGTCCCGCTCCGTCAGCACATTGATCGAGCTGGCGGCATTCGAGATGATCTCCTCGGCCAGCCAGTTCTGGAACGGGGAGATCACCCGGTCGTCGCGGTTGTCGATGACGAGGAGCGAGTTCTGGGTCTCGTCCTCTTCCTCGACCACGACCTGGCGAACGAACTCAGGCCGCTGAACGGCGAAGGGGTTGTGGGCAGCAGGAGCCCCGCGGTCACGACGTCCACGACGATCGTCGCGACCCCAGCCTCCAGAGCCCCAATCGCCGGATGCGGCAGCTGGAGCCGCGGGATTCTCGGGAGCCTCTGCCTCGCCTGGAACGTAGTGTCCCCAGTTGCCCGGATTCTCAGGCTGACCAAGCCGGCGAGGCAACCCGAACTGTGGGGCCATCGGAGCCGCCATCTGCCGACCTTGATGGAAGCCAGCGGGAGGGAACGACATGGCTGCGATCGAGCGAGCCTATTCACTTCCACCTCCCACGCCGAATTTTTCGGTATGGCCCGATCGGCTATCGCCAAAATGGCCACGGAGAAAATAGATCAAGTCTGTTCCAACGATCGCGAAGTATATGCATATACATGTATATATGTATATGCATATGCGTATGCGTATGTGTAGGTTTTATGTATATATGCATAGGTTGAGGTATAGGCGGTATAGGTATAGGTTATGTGCATGTGGATGTGGATGTGTACGTATATGTCTGTATACCTATGCCCTATGCATGACTGTACAGGCATGTTCCACATTTTCAATGCAGAGAAGCTTGCAACAAACAGAAGCTGCACTTGCGCCGGCAGGGAAAATGCATGACTCGCCTAGCTACGAGTACACCTCGCTCCCTGCGCACCGCTCATGTGGGGGCCGTGGAGTTGATCACGTTCAGGCAGTCCGGGTAAACGATGCCGAACTCCACCGCCCAAATGTTGCCTCAGTTGCGGGGCTGTTGTCTGGCCTCACATTCTTTGCGAGCAGCCGTGCTGCTCAGCCGGGGAGTGGTCGGACGCCAGCAGCATCTGACTTTCCAACAGTTCTTGCAGCGCATGTCCCTCCAGCTGTGGCACAATATTCCTATTCGGATTTAGCTTTCCTGATCTGCCAGATCCAAAGGAGGCGAACGTCGCAGGGGAGGCATCCTTATTCAGCCACCGGCCAAGCGCTTACCCCGCTACGATGATTGTAAGGACTTACCCGGGCCGCTCTTGGAACCATACTCATGTCCAAGGTCCTTCCTTATACTGAGACTTGCAAGCACCCCCAGAAAAGCAGACACATGCGAGTGTCAACTACAGACGAGCTGACTAGTCTGACGACTTGCGAAAGAAAACCTAGCAGTTCCGTGGTGATGTCTAGAGTGGGGAAGATGCATGCAGTGCTTATACTGGATTACAAAGCTGCTCTGGAGGGTCCGTCTGGCTCACAATTATTGATTGGCATGGACTACGGTGCACACAGCATGATGACGCCAAATGTCCGGTTCATCCATACTCGAAGCCCCCAAGTTTGTGTGCGGCGGTCGGCTGTGCTTCATGAAGATGCAGAAAGAGGGAGATCTATCCCACCAGGCAAACATAGAGAAACGCGTGTCTGTCAAAGGTTCTGCATTCCGCAAATGCCTCGAACCTACATGACAAGCTGCATAGCTCCCAGAACTGCAGGTAGATGACAACTCGTGTCTCAGGCAGCAAGCTCCTGCCTCCGCTCACCTGCAGGGACCGCCACCCGAATCAAGAACATGATGCTGCTGCGGGTTTAGGGTTGGGGAATTGGAATGTCTCCCAGCGGCGATGGATCCCCAAAAGACTACTGACTCTTTCCTCGGACTGCCTTGTAGGCCGTCGTGAGGTTGTCGCACTTGGACTTGAAGCCCTTCTTGTTGTTGCAATTCATGATCTCCACAGGGGGGCAACCGTGATATGCGCGACTGTTAACAGGGCAGCTCCTGGACTTTGCCAGCGATACCCTTGACTTGCGCCTGCGAGTAAGTGTCCGGGTCAAACTTCTGCGAGCTGATGCCCAGGAAGCCTCCCACTTTCTCCAGCAAACCGCCTTTCAGGTTTATTCTGCTGGGTACCAAGTCCTCGTTCCTTGGATTGACCCAGCACGCTCAACTTTGCTTCATGCCCCTCGACTATCATGAATGTCCAGAGAGTCTAGGGCAGTCCTGCTGCAGCAATCATCCCGAAGCAAATCCTGTGTAAGGCCGGGTGTGCAACTCCTCACGAGAACCCCCGCTCCGGTAGGTGCTGACATGATTAATTCATCTGTCGAAATTGGTGATCGAGGTTCCTCAAGAAGAGGATGCTGCTGCGTCCAACCATCCGCATCAGAAGCCTGGGATCCTCGAGGCTCCTGCATCGCCAGCTCACGAGCCACTGCCCTCCCAGCGTCTGCGATCTGGATGTAAGCCTCAGGATTTCAGCTGCGCAATGGCTGTTCTTAACACGTTCCCTGCACAGCTTCGAGATCACGTGTTTGGGTCGAGGGTCAGCTCATGGAACAACTCTGGCGAACGATAGTTCTTCTTCACCCAGCCATAGCGACCAAGACCTTCGGCATCGAGGTGTTTCTGCTGGTCAAAGAAATTCCAGGAAGACCACAGCCAGTCAGCGGGATCGCGAAACCTTGGCATGACGCAAGACACTTTCGTGCCGTTGCTTGAAAGAAACGATTGAACAGGTTTAGAAGCATGAAGCTCTGCATGTTGCAGCCTCCTTATCTGCAGGCTTGGGAACATGAGGATGAACTTGCGATGGGTCGGCCTCAAATAATACCACGTGAACGCCACGCTGGCAAAGTTGACGCACCTCGCAGGCCGAAGGATTCGGCTGGTAACAGATTTCCATAGGAGACACAGACTTTCTGGGACAAGGGATCCAAAGTGGCAGGTCGCGCCCCCACTCTGCCCTTTATCTGAAGCTTGGCTGAAGCGCCAACCACAAGCTAAACCTCAAGAGCCCAATGTTTGACGCGTCTGAGAAGCACCCATTCAGCGTAATGGCGGGTGCTGCACCAGGCGAACTAGAATGCCCGGAGCGAGTTGCCGCCATGGATTGAACGAAAGAGTGCCTTGACTAATCTGAGTCCCAAGTGCACATGTCTGGCATCAGGAACGACTCAGCATCACGCACCGTACTGTCTTGGGAGCTGGATTTGCCTTTGCTCGTGTCGGTTGACCTTTTGGTAGCCTGCTTTGTGGATGCTGGAAAGCAGCCGAGGAACAGATTGACTTGGAGCTTTCGCTTCTCTTTGTCCAGATCGTTCTGTGCATCGAGAACCACGTCCCTCCTCGTGCGCGGGTAGACTGCGCAGTTTTCCTTGCGGTTCGGATTCAGTCTTCTCCTCAGTTGCGTCAACATCGTGAAAGCCACATGCTCCCTCCTGCTACCACCGATCCTCCGAGCATGTATCCCGACACGGCAAAGCAGAAGTCAACTGCTGCTGAGAATCACGTTTGGGTGGGAGGCCAGGATTTCATAGAGCTGCGTCGTGCCCGTCTTGGGCAGGCCAACGATGTTCAAATCCGCGAAAGCTTCTTGAAAAGAAGGCCGTGGGCGAAGCGACTCCTTGCATAAAGTCTGGTGGCCACAGATGCTGCACAAAGATTCGCTTGACTTGCTGGTGTGATCACAATGAATGGGGCGCAGGGTTTGGTCCACAATAGCGAAAGAAAGTCATCAATCCCAAAATCCAAGGCCACTTGCAACAAAGTATCGGGCATCGGGACAAGGTCTGGGTGCTGGTCCTGTATTCCTGAGCGACCGGGCTGTCGAACTGTATCCAGTTTTCCACATATTCGCTGATGCTGACCCGCCCAAGGTCTGGCAACCCGATTGCGACTTGTCGGGAAACGTATCCTGGTAAGTTGGCTAGGTTCAAGAGTCTGGCTAGCAAGCGGGTTGCAACACCTTCTGACGGCTAGGGTCCTGAAAGCTATGGATCCGACATCCGCGCCAGAATTTGTGGCATGCTGTCAACTGAGTCTCCTTGTTGACCGCCGAGGTTCCCAAGAAACCGCTGCACTCCTGGGCGCCGTTGCCAGCAGCGCCCTGCAGAGTGAGACGCCTCTGAGCCAGGATGTGCCGATGGTATGTGTCGCGAACCTCGCCAGCCAACCTGACGGAGAAAGCCAGTGCTTGGGCTTTGCAAATGGAAGTTCCCAGACTGACCCCTGCTTGGAGAGAGGTACCCCGGCCGTCCTGGCATGCCGGATGCACTGGTCCATGTCGTTACAACGGAGGAGCGACAACAAATTCCGCAGTTGCTCTTCCACATCCAGGCTGCTGAGGTTCGTCTCCGGGCCACTAACGGCAAGGCCAGGCTCCGAATTCGCATCCGACTGCCAGCACGGCGTGGCCTCAGCATCCTCGGCCTCGCCATACCGCGGGCCGAAGAAAGTGTGGGCGATGCTCAAGGTCAAGGCCGAAAGCAAGCAGCCGAAGAGCAGGCTCTGCAGAAACACCCGCTGCCGCAGATCAGACATTCCTCCCCTGCTTGCAGGGGTCAAGGAAGGCCCGTGTCGGTGCGGCAACGACGAGTTTCTCAACCATGGCTGGAACCCTGCTGTGCGATCTTATCCAACATTCCAAGCTGCGAACCAGCTAGGATGATTCCGATTGCGTGCCCCTTCTACTGGCAACACCCCTGCTTTGAATTGGATGTGCTTCATCATAATGGCAAAAAGCTTGGGGGTTGAGAGAGTACTGCGCAGGACTGAAAAACGACCGTCTCTTGCTAAAGTCCACCAGCTTCAACTCCTTGAACCTGATCCTGGGGCTGCAGACACGAAGGGTCTGGCTGTAAAATGCTCGAATTTCCATCCCACGGACCCTGAGAACCAGGTGCCGGATGCCAAGAGCAAGACTGCACTGGTATTGATTTACGAGAGAACAGAAGGATTCTCAACCAAGCCCGTCGGTGGGGCTGACTCGCGGTACTATGGCTATGGTTCCTCACTACATTATGATGACCCAGAAAGTCGCAGTAGACAAAACGCAGTGGGAAGCACTTGACTGGCACGAAATCCCACACTGTCCGGGCTAAATCGCAAGCAGGTCGTTTTGGTTCCTCCACGATGCCGCCATGTCATAGGTCCACTTCAAGAGCAGTGTCGCTGAGAAGGGGCACTTGGCAGCTTCGGGGAGGTGGCGAACCAACGCTATGCAGGACTTGCTCGCCGCAGGTCACTAAAACTGCGAAGACATGTCAGACCCTCAATTGTCTGCTTGTTCCTTGTCTGGCCTCGCCCAACTTGAAGCACGATGATGCAGCATGCCAGAAATCACGAACACACACACACACAAAAAAAAAAAGCAAACAAGCGAGTAGACAATTAGGTAAGTTCGTCAATCAGGAACATATAAGGAAGTAGACAAGTAGGTAAGTAAGACAGTCACAAAGAATGAGTAAATGAGGGAGGGAGTAAGCAAGCAAGTAAGAATGCATGTATGCCTACAATGTACGTATGCAGTAACACTGCAAGATTCAATTGTAGGTTACTCAAGGTGGCTTAAATTCTGCACGGCTTGGACTACCTACAAGCGCGACGTGGTCTTTCGCTGTTTGGGGTCTATGCCGGTCTAATCACTGGCTACAGTTGTCGGACGCCCGAGCTTCAGCCAGCCACCCATCTTGCACGAAGCTGGGCCGCTAGCATTAATTTCAGCAGGTTGCCGACGAGGCTGGTTGGAAAGCCCCTCCAAACACAGACCAAAAGCTTCTGGCAGTAATGTCTAAGACATGGTGCGATCGGGGGTCAGGGTGACATAAGCAGGCCAGATACATGCTATATGTAGGACAGTGGAGACCTTCTATGGCATGCCCAGAACGAAGCAGGTTGCGACGCACCAATGTCTTCTTGTCTTGGGCGCGCCGATGACTTGGCTTTCCAATCAGAAATCCCTGTCCACCACCCGGATGTGCACATGGCCCGAGACAGGGCAGCACTTCCGCATGCCGTGGCGAGCAAGGGGAGACAAGCTCACCCCGGAACAAACCCCGAAGAGAATCGAGCGTGCTCTCGACAAGGAAGCCGAAAGGCCCCATGCAAGTGACCCCTGTTCTTCTAAAGGCTTGCTTCGAAACGTCAGCCTCCGAAGCACGCGAGACGAACGTGTGCCGACATAAGGAATCTTCAAATCGTTGGTAGCTGCCTTCCGGTTTGTCTACGTGTCGGATTGCTGCTCTGAGAAGCAAGTAGTTGCCTAGTAGCTGTAGTTGCCTGCCTCTTCCAAGCCGTCTAATCGATGTACTTCAAGTTGCGCCGCTGCTTGCACTGCACTAGTCTACCGATTGGAGTAACTCTGCTCCGTGCAAGCATGGAGCGCATTCGTGTCGATCTTGCTCGCAAGTCTCAAGCCACGACGGATGTTGAATTTGAGACATGCAAACCACTTCTACCTCGCAAAGCACAAAACAGTTCTGATGTTCCATCCCTTTCTAACCCGAACCCTCTGCTTCTCGCACAGGATGAGCAAACCAGAACCTTCCTTAAACAGGCACACACGCAGCATCCAGCCACCCGACCTGAAATCCCATCAGATTTATGGACACAGCAATAACCACAATTCTTCCGGCTCATGCGGGGCAGCGAGCTCGCCTACGCAACCTCAACTCACAGAGAATGCTGGCTTGCGGAGGGACTGTGGACGCAGGCGTGCAGAAAGGCTCCATCACCCCAATGGGCTTCCCGGTATGTGCTAGGCTTTGACATGTGAACATTGACGCTGGTCGAGCTTGTGCAGAAGAGTTGCAAATCTGCCGTAGCGGCTGTGCGGTATGCCAGATCGCGTGTCACTTTTGCAGTCGCTGTGTTGGTACGTGGATGGAGTGGATGGCCAGTGCCCATTTTACAAAGTGCCACATATCGGTGCAACCTTATTTGAGCTCCCTTTCCTTGTGTTTTAGCTATCCTTCCATCGCCGTTCCCACAGCGCATCACAACACGATTACCGAGGGCTCGGCGCGGCGGAACGCGTGGGAATGAATTTCAGCCTGAGGTGCATGTCCCCAGGGTGCAGTCGGCGCGAGAATGGTGATGCCAAGACGTCGGGTCACCGGCTGGATTGCTTGCACGTACATTTACACCACGACGGTCACCACGACTCTGGTCCTGGGCATGGCGGGCACAGTATAGCTCCGTTTTCCTTTGCTCTGACGCCGACTCCTTCTGAGGTCCCTGTGAGTGTTGGTCAAGTTCTGGAACGGGCTGGGTCTAGGTGTTGCATGGAATGGCAAAGACCGCTGACAACTGCAGGCTGTTTGCTCGGACTTGGAATGCATGGGGCTACTGCCTGCCGCGATGGCATGTCATGTGCCCTACTCAAACTTGTGATGCAGCACTCCCGCCCAATCTGAACTTCGAACTACGACGCAGGCCGATGTGTTCAAGGCTTCAGGTGTCGTGGACACGTCGTGGACTCATGCATTAGGACTGCAAGCAGAACTTCCGACGTTTGAGATCACAGTGCACACAGGCTTTGGTCTCTAGTGCTCCGAGCCTCACGAGCTCTGAGAAATTTTGAAACACCGAGCCCCCACCAGGAAGACCCCACAAAGGACAACGGAGAACTCCCGGTCCTGTGCCGCGACCTCCACATGCCCTAGGCTTGAAAGCCCAACCTGGGCTCAGAACGCTCAGAAAGATCTGCCATTCCAGAATTACCGGCGGCGTGAAGGAACGCTGCGAGGATGCGGGTGATCACCAGCCCTGCAGTCGCCAGGACGAACCCAACTCCAATATGCCTTTCAGCCCTGTCCGGCCTTTGGGCTGGATTATGGCATTATGATGGAATTATGAAATCCTGAAGACTTCTCGTGTGTAAGTGTCAGGCAGCAGTGGCTTGCTCCTGGAAAAACACTCAGGACGCCGCGATTGAAGCTTTGCAAGAAGCGCTGCCTGCAGGGGGAAGCCGAAAATGTCCGCTTTGCTGGTGCAGAACGATTTGGTTGAGGAGGTCTCTGTCAATTCAGGGCGACAGTTACAAAGGTCAGTCGCAGAGCCGGAGTCGCCGCTGACAGTCACAGTCAATCGCTATACCGCCACGGGGGCAGTGCCAGCAACCGCAACAAAAAAATCAAGGCCGTGGTCTATAATAAATCTATGCAGAACTCCTCCGAGGCTGCGCATCCTTTAAGTCTTGCATCTCCGAACTACGACAGGCGCAGGACTTTATTCTGACGATGGTTTTTCCAGCCTCCGCACCGCCTCCTTGGAACACCGAAGCTGCCTGCGAAGTGTTGGGATTTGTTGTCAGGGCCAATGCCAAAGAGGCTTCCCATTCGCAAGGTCTTCCGACGCGGAGACTGTGCTTGCTCGTGTCGGATCTCGTTCTCTCTGACTGACCACCGACGCCAGCACGTGTAACACATTTTTTTGAGCATCTTGGCAACTCGAGCATCATCCGCTTGGAAGCTCTCACTTCTGACGTTGCATGGTACTTCCGACAGACTTCGTCCTGCAATGCAAACAGACCGTTGGTCTCCCTGCGCCCTCTCGCAGGAACCAAAGAAACTTACTTCAGGGAGATTCAGATGCTAAACACGCGACTCCACGCTCCCTTGGCCTGCTTCAGATTGAAGCCTGCGCCTCAGGAAGAGGGCATCTCGTTATTTCGTCTTGACCGCATGCTAGTTGCACCAGCTGCGACTGTGCTGACAAGGAGTGACTCCACAGAAATGGTTGGCTTCCCATCAACGTCGCTATGTCCGGAATCAGAGTCACAAAAGCGAAAGCTGGCATCCTGAATCTTCATTCATATGTCAGGGGTTTCCAGGAATTATCAGAGGCAAACTGAAGTGGCTCCAGAGTGAGAGATGGTTTCAGCCCGGGCGCTCACAAGTGCTGCCACGCATGAGCGAGCGTCCGAGTCCTTCGCCATAGCATCCCAGCACCGACACCGAGACCCGGACACTGTGTCAAAGCATGAGTCTAGGATCTGAACTCAGTCCAAACCGCTGCCTCTACCTCAACAAAACCATTGGCCCATTGAGTCGTTGACCCTGAAGAGCTACTGGACCTAGCCAAGCCCCGAATTCTCATCTTCTCGCCGCTTCGATGGGTGAGCATGAGGGTCGTAGCTTATGCAGCAACTGCGACATGGATTGTCAAGCTTGTCCGAGCCCGCTATAGGGTAGGTCCGATAAACTCCATGACCTGGCACCCATGAATCCTGGTAGGCTTCGAGCAGGTTGCAAAGACCTTGTAGAGCCTTGGGTGCAAACTCCCTTTAAAAGAGATCAGCTCTGCTCGCCGTATCAAACATTCCATGCGCGAACGGGGTTGTAGCTTCAATATGTTTGGCGATCGACGCCCACAGATCTGAAGAAGTCCATGACCAAGTCTGCGCTTGCAAGACGTACGACGTACAAGGCTCCAACCAGGTGCAGCATTTCTCGGTCGACAGTTCCGTCCAAGACCTGCAAGCAAATGCCAGTGCACTGAATCAGCTGACACTATCCAGTGACCCGCTTTCGTCTTCCAGCTGACCAGGGCTGCTGAAGACAACATCGTTTTGGTACACCAGCTTCGCATCACACACGAATTAGCCGTGTGCATGGTTTCATGGAAGACCTGTGCTCAAGTCATCCAGGTTCTCTCTTTCTCCCTCTCTCGGTTTCTGTCTTTCGCAAGGGATACAGGCCGAAAAGGGAGAACGAGCGACCTTGCCCCCGCGCTCCAGACGTTGCTGGAAAATGCGGAAAGAGTGCTCGCGGAGAGACAGAGACAGAGACAAACAGAGAGTGACGGACAGAGAAAGGCAGACAGAGAGAGACAGACAAAAAGAAACAGAGAGAGAGAGAGAGAGAGAGAGAGAGAGAGAGAGAGAGAAACGATTTTGGCTCAACGCCGGAGCCCCTAAACAAAAGAGGGCCTCCAACCGGCATGCACGGGGCCGAGCTGCTTCCCGCAATCTCGGCAAATTCGGAGTCCTGCGATTGCCTTATGAGGGGAGCACGATATCCTTGCGGGGGGACGATACGAGCAGTGATGCGACCACAATCGACGGGCGACACATCTCCAGATCTTGCCCTACTGTCAGATCCGCCGCTCGGACATCGTTTGGAATTGGACGTTACCAACTACTTGGTCGTAACATTTTCTGCAGTCCGGTGAGATAGTTGGAAGGAATGAAAAGTGGCACTTTGAGAGCGCCGAGTGTGTGTTGACGGTTTTTCTTTTCGAGTTTTGAAACCTCAATTCGTCGCGGGCTAGCCGAAAGAATTGAAAGATCATGTGTGCCAACCTTGAGATGGGCTGTTTCGCTGTGTCCTTTTCACTTTCAACTGTTTTCGTTGGCCTAAACGGGTTTTTCGTCTAGTTAACCAGACGTCTTGAAGACGGGCCACTGGAGCTTTCCGTACTTCTGTCCTTCTAGGGGCTGCCTCCCTGCGCCCTGACCTTCATGCATGTGATGCACGCGAGGCAAAGGGGTAGAGTCCCCAACTCTTTGCCACATGTGCATTTTACACCGATGGGCTTGCCCTCGAAGCCCCTAACATCTGCAGGGGTTTCACCCCTTCGGCGATCAATGTGATGCTGCTTTGGGAATGTTGCTATCGCCTAGACTGGGTCAGTAACTTGTGCTTCATCTGGAACATTGATGGCGGTACTGTGTGCGGGGACCTCGTGGCTGTTACTGTACGCAAAGCTCTGACATAGAGCATTAACAACAGCTTACGGCAAGGTCGTCGTGATTCTATCATGGCAACGAGGTTTCTTCCAATATCGTTTTTGCTCGTACTGCTCGGTTGGTTGTGATGAGCCAAACCGATGGAGCCCATTTTTTTAAAGTGTCTCAAGCCCACCATCCAAAAGGAGAGAACCCTGAACTGTAATTCCTAGATCGCTTCCTTGGTTTTTTTACAACTGATGGTTGTCCCTCCTGAAAAAAGGGTGATTCTGTCTCTGTCTCTCTCCATATCTGTCGCTCCGTCCTCTGTGGAGGCTTCTGGCCAGTGCCATTCATTCTTTGCGTCATGAGGCATTCTCGTGATCGTCAAAAATGATCTTCGGCCGTTGTACTGGACGTCTTTGTTGCAATCCTGCCTGCCAATTCATTTGTGATGGACGGCCGTGCAGTGCATTCACTTCGGACTGACGTGGCCATATTACGAGACTGCGCAGAGACGGACATGCCGCTTAGCTGGAGACTCGCTCAGTTCCTGCTTTTCCTTCGGTGAGGCTGGGAATCGTCCTCTGCGTCTCTGGTCTGAACCCTAACTACGCATAGCTTCCGGGCCAGGAGGCTGCGACCGCCAGTGCAGGCCCTAGGGACTACCTCCACGCCTAATTTACCGTTCAACCGTCGATCAGGTATAGTTTCCCTTGCATTTGTCGCCTTCAGCGTGTAGCCTTTCCAAACCAGTGTGTTGAATTGTGTTGAGCAGCTCCCGCCAACGGCCGGGTTGGGAGGTAATACGCAAGAATACCAGGGAAAACGCCTTAGCCTCTCCTGTAGCGACGACAAGCTGCCTGACGAGACCCGAAGGAACGCATGTGCCAATACTTGCCGAGACGGGCCACCACCCAAGAATCAAGAGGTTCTTGTCTCTCCGCCGCTAGGACAGGGGTGGTTGCCGGTTAAGGTTGGTAATCTGGAACCCCTGCTTGACCGTTAAAGGCTGCCGGCCATGTCACCGCTCGGAAGTGTACCTGGTATCCCACCCGAGGGGCGAAGCACAGCCATGCGCCGACTGCGGCGCGAAAAAACGAGATGCTTACAAGGCTCAGCTACGGCTAGATCGAAGCACATGACCTTCTATCCTGGCGGAACGGCAATCTTGCGGCAGACTAGCTGTAGCATACACTCGCAAACATTTGCCCCGTACACACAGGCGCGCATGCGCTTAGCAACTTGTTTAAGCACGTCCAGGAGCGGACTCAGTATTTTCCAAGTGAAAAAGTTATCATGTCATAGTTCCATGACAACCCCTCGTGCCTGGCAGAAGAACTCCAGGCTGCACGCGACACGCTCAAGCAGCGGAGCAGACCTGCAGTGGAAGCGTGCGAGGACATAGTCTTGAAAAAAGTAACGATATTGTGCGTCCCATGTCCCGTTCAGGTTGGGAATTTCCTGCACATATCCGGAACTCGTATCCTTGCTCACCTATATTGCGTGGCTACAAAATGCTTACACTGCTGCTTTGGGTTTGCAAGTCTCCTTCTGTTCACGACTTTTGCATCAGTGGAGCCGTTACTGAGGTACTGGGGCGACTAGTACCATTGTCACAACTCCTGCTCCTGTTACAATGTAAGTACGAAATGTGGTGATAAGCTGTGTGTTGACGATGATACTGTTGTTTTGGCGCAACTTCCAAGTACCCCACCGGTATGCTGCTATTTTCTATGGTGAGTACGAATACGATGAACACGGAACATGACCAAACCAAACAGAATGCTTTTATATGCGACTTGAGGATTGTTGATGCTTCGCCACATTGACATTCGCTTGTACCGCGACGACACAACAACTTCTTTTACTTTTACTTTTGCATGTACTCTTACTTTTACTTGTACCCTTACCTGTACCTTTACCTGTACCTTTACCTGTACGTCTACTTCTACTTCTACATTTATTTCTTCTACTTTTCTTGCACTTCTGCTTTTACTTCTACGTTTACATGTTACTTTTACTTTTTACTTGTAGTTTTACTTAGAGTTTTACTTTTGCTTTTTTTTACGTTTACTAGTACTACTACTAGTACTACTAGTACTACTACTACTACTACTACTACTACTACTACTACTACTACTACTACTACTACTACTACGACTACCACTACCGCTACCGCTACCGCTACTGCTACTGCTACTGCTACTGCTACTGCTACTGCTACTGCTGCTACTACTACTACTCCTCCTGCTACTACTCCTGCTACTACTACTACGACGACAACTACTAATACTCTACCACTACTGCTACTACTACTACTACTACCACTACCACTACCACTACCACTACTACCACTACCACTACCACCACTACCACTACCACTACCACTACCACTACCACCACCACTACCACTACCACTACCACTACCACTACCACCACTACCACTGCCACTGCCACTGCCACTGCCACTGCCACTGCCACTGCCACTGCCACTACCACTACCACTACCACTACGACTCCTACTACGACTCCTACTCCTACTCCTACTCCTACTCCTACTCCTACTCCTACTCCTACTCCTACGCCGACTCCTACTCCTACTCCTCCTGCTGCTGCTGCTGCTGCTGCCACCAGTACAGGTACTGGTACTAGTACTAGTACTGACTACTTCTTTTCTTCTCTACCACCACTGCCACGAACCAAAGCCATCACCAGCACCACCATGTCAGGTACTTGCGATGACTGCAATCAGTTTTTGGGTGAATCCTACAAGTATGGTTCGTGTACTTGGCGTTCTGGGGTTGGCACACGCCGCGACAAAGTGCGACCATCAGCCTTGGAAGACCCACTGGATGCAACTCCTGTAAAGATCCGACGTTATCGGGATCGCTGATCATTTGCCTGCTGAAACTATCTGAGGATACCCTGCAGTGACGATGCCTTAGGGACAAAGTTTGTCTTTGCCTAGGGTGGAGATTTTTGTTGCTCCTCCTTTCCATCGACATGTCTAGAAGCATGATGTGCTCAAAGCCCTGTGTGGCTGCACATGCGCAAGCACAACCAACCAGCCACAAGACTGTCCTGAACGGCAAGTTTGCTGAGATGCCGGGTCGCCGAGTCAAGCTGAGGAGGACGTCTCTGCGCTGCAGCTCTGTCCAGCAAAAGCCAGGCATCTGCACAAGGCTGGTCATGTCATAGTGATAAGCAGCGTCAGCTTCAACTCTGTGAGAATCACCATGACAACCATCAGATCATCATCGCAATGTTACGAGAACGCGAGTCTCAAGATGCTGGAACTCATGAACACGCAGTGGCAGCTTCAAAGCTTCGGCTGGGATTTGCAGGCATTCAAAGAAGTGTGGCCTCTCCGAACAGCTGACCGAGCACCTCCACCTGAAGCTTGGCAGAAGTCCAGCATGGAAAACATCCCACCTCTAGGGAACAAAGCTTCGGGGTTCCAGACCTGTAAGAGCTGCCAGTCTGCTCTTCAAGGATGATGCAACCCAGGTCCGATGCTTGTGAACTTAGCTCTGCAACATGGGTTGAGGGAAACACAACTTCAAATTCCACGCACCGCAGCCCGATCTCCCACTAAGCTGGCAAAAATCCCAAACCAGCTCCTTTTGGTGGACCGTAAACCCTCCAAGCTGCAGACGATGTCATCGAGCAGCAAGTGATCGCGCATGCTGGGGTCCTGGTCGTTGGCAACCTCTGTGCGAGCGAGGGTTGTTCAAGCTTTGTGTAGGCTTGCAGCTTAAGGGCTTCAGGGATTCACGGAGGCTGTGGGTTGAAAGAACTCCGGACTGAACGAAACGTCTTCGCGGCAGAAAAGGTAGGCAAGGTAGATGTAGTTGTTGCTGCATATGCTGATATACACATGAACACACTCATTCTTGTTGTGTATGCGTGCCTTGGCTGCAGTATTTCTTTGATTTGGAACTGTTCTTTAATGAAGCTCAAGTAAAGCGTGACGAGCCCCTTTGGTCGAGGGGCGATGCCTTCAGCATCAGGCATCGTCCCACACGCCAAGGAGACACTGTTCGACGCCACGACGGCATCAGCTGAATGTGCTTTTGCCGGACGTATCTGATATGTCTTCCTTCGATAGTTGTGTCTGTAAACATCCACCAATACTGAGTAATTTGAACTTGTGCTCAGTACATGTTCATGAAGGAGTAGTTAGACATGCACGAATATTGTTTGAGCGCGTGCAATATGCTAACTGAGCAGTGCTTTGATGCACTATTCAATAAAATCAACAACCATTAATAAGGTTTTGACGGATTGTTAGATCGAACAGGAGCGAAGACATAAGCATCGCTAATATTACGTGAATGTTGGCTAAAGTGTCGACAGCAGGATGAGACTTGGGCTGTTGGCGAAACCATACTGTGCATTGCTTAAACCTCCTGACTCATTCCAAGCACCATAATCCCCCAACTCCATGCGAAGAAACCTTCGGAGAAAGTCATGCATCAACTCTCTTGTGGATTGACTTGCACCAGACCAAACACCCGCATCATCTCGAAACAGGGCAGCTTAACTACTTGAGCATGTGTTTCTCTTGTTTGGATGTGCGAAACTGTGCCAAGAAGCAGTGGTGGACTTTGACCCCGCACCTCATCTTCCTTTCATGTTCTCAGTAAGCAGGGGTGTTCCCATTTTTGCACGACTTTTTTCCATTTGGTTCGGTATTATGTCTCCATTTGTTCCCGGCGGTGCGTGGCAGCAGGCAAGCAGGCAAGCAAGCAAGCAAGCAAGCCAGAAAATAAGCAGAGTAGGCGAGCAAGCAAGCAAGCAAGCAAGCAAGCAAGCAAGGGGAGTAGACAAGCCGTAGGCATGCAGACAGGCAAGCAAGTAAGCAAGCAAGAGAGGAACATCAAGCCGGCCAGCAAACAAGCAAGCAAGCAAGCAAGAGAAGAAAACGAGCACAGACAGCAAGCAAGCAAGCAAGCAAGACAAGAAAACAAGCAGAAAAAGCAAGCAAGCAGTTAAGCTGGAGAACGCAAAGCGAGCAAGCAAGCAACCAAGCAAGCATGTTCTCACACAAGCAAACATACAGGAAAGGATGCAAGCAGGCAAACATTACCACAAATGCTACTGTTCTATCAACACTACTACTATGACGCTTACGATAACTACTACTTTCACCACTACTATGATTGTGTCTACATCGCCATCAAACAGCAGCAAACACGTGGGTCGCTGCAACCTTTGTTATTGAGGAACAACTCAGATGTCCAGCCCGCATACTGCCTCGATCATGATGCTTATTGCAAACCCCGGCGCATAATTGTGCAAACCGCAACTACTTGTGATTGCCTACGAAAACTTCACTGCTAGTATTGTCGTTGCCTAAATGCCCACATAGGGCTTTTCGGAATCTACAAAGAACTCTATCGGGATTCTAGCCGGCATGAAAGCCTGGATCATCACGAATTAGACGGCCTAACTTTGCGCTGCATCAGCTGGAAAAGCAGGAGCTGTTGCGGTCGAGAGGTTTGAACGATGCTTGCAGAATGACTTGGATCACGGCGGATCACAACAAATGCTCGAGTAACGATTACGGTCGGGATGACAGGCATCAACACTTGGTCGTTTTGTATATGTGCACATGCATAACACAAATGCACAGATCCCGGGACACATTGTGTGCACATCGCTCTGTCTGTGTATATATATATGTATATACACATGTAATGATATGTATATACATGTGTACATGAATACCTGCATGCACTTCACCGCGCAAAGATCCCATGCAGCAATGGGCAATCACGCAGTTCGTGCAACGCAAAGGCTGTAACGTGAAGGCCGGACTGCACTTGCTGCATCTTTAAAGGCACAAAAATTCAGGGTTCAGGGTTTAGGTGATACAACAGCCTGTCCAGGAGCCGCACGTTTGCCAGAAGCTGCAGGCAGCAGTCGCATAGCTCCGAACTGGAGGCCCAAGGTGCCGTTTGATCGGTACCCGACTCGCCCTCTTTTCACACAACTGTAAATGAGAAAGGATTGCTGAATCGTACTTAACTTGTGGAGCGCCTGGCTTTTTTATACACTAGCCTCGATAACCTTGCATTTGCTTGCATTTATTCAACGAACCGGAGATATCAGGACCAGTCGAGGATTCCAACGACACTTGTCGTCCTATAGGAACACAAGCCGAAACCCAGCTGTTGGGATATTATTATTTGCCTTGACATTAACTCATTAACTATCGCAAGGTGAGGTTCAATGTAAGCTTTGGTCAAGATGAGACGCACGTTTGACATAGACGCACGCTGTATGGCTCGTTCAAGTTTATTTAATTTTATTTCTGGACTCCCTTCTTCTTTGCTTGCAATACATCGCTGGCAACTTGTCCGAACGTTTCCGCGCATGACGATGTAAACGATGCACACGTAACAGAACTGATCTGTCTGTTGGAGTGTGTACCCTGTGCCGGCTAAGAAAAGGGTATGTGAAACCAAAAAGTTCTCAAGCATCAAGATATTAGCCGCTTCTGCATACAAACCTGTTGCGGCATCATAGTATGCACAAACTGGTTGTCTCATGCAGTCATTGATACACCGACTGCATCCGACTGCCTGTCGCACGGGGCCATCGGGTTGACTCAGTCGGATTTGGCCCCGTTGTGGTTGCTGCATGCTTCCACGGGTTGTGTTCTCCCTCGTTCTCGTGACAGGGGCGGTAGCCATACCTGTCAACGGTCAACTAGTTGAAGCCCGGATTGCACCCCACATCGATGCTAGGCCCGCCTTTCTGCGATTGACGCTTGCTGCAGCGAGCCCATAGCGGCCTGAGTGGCCCCGGCCTGGCTCAGCACTCGTCAGGCTGTGAAAAGAAACGCGCAGCCTGAACGAGCCCTTTGAACACAGGCACCCCACGATGCATAGCGGGCGGTCTTCGAGCGAGGCCTGAAGCTTATGTTTTTGAGGATCCGCCTTCCTCTCGAAAATCAGCCACTGCTCAGTTCACATGAAAACTTTGCGAATACCAGCCATGCTTCTCAAAAGGAAACCAGGAACATGCCCAGCACTCTTCAGGCTCCCATGCGCCTGTGCAACTTGCTTCGTCTGCACGGAGCTGCCGCAGCTGAGCTGGACCAAGCACCACGCGGCCTCTAGCTGTACTTGCGAAGTGATTGTGGGCCGGAGGCAAGTTTCGCATAGCCTTCAGTGCTCCACGACATCTTTGCTTCGACAGGAGCAGACAGAATGGCAGGCAGATGCTGTCGCCTCAACTCGGCAGGCGCTTGTGGAGTCGGTGGAGCCTCGGCAAGGGCTCTGTGAAGTGCGCGTGCAGCGGCCTCTTCCAGGTGCTGCGAAAGCAGAAACATGCTGGTCGCCTGCCTCTGGGGCGCGCACTAAGGACGGAGACAAGCAATTCAGCCCCGCCACTTCGCAACACCTCGACTTACATGCAGTGGAAACATGGGGATGGAAGCAGCCAGACCCAGAAGGAACGTCGAACTCCTGCAGCTTCGGCCAACCCCTGCCACACACTTTTGGTCCCGCGCCCCTTCCACAGGACCCTGAACGGTTGAAGCCAGCGCCTGCACATCAGCTATCTTTGTAGCGTTCGGGCTTGTTCGGGGTCATGCTGGTACTCCTTTGTGCGCAAGCAACCCCCAAGCCTTCCTCTGCTGCTTCGCTGAATACGTCAAAATTTGATGCGTTCACTGCTGAGCCTTCCAACGGACTCCGATGTCCTGGACGACGCGATGCCCTTGACAACACTCAACATAGACGAGCATCAGTGACTAACCAAGAGTCTGCCCCAGAGAAACCCACTCCAAAGCCCCGAGGCCCTGAATGTCCTACGTGCACTCAGCTGTCCAGGCCTGGCGAAGCTTGCAGAGTGCACCCAGTCTGTGGCCTGGAAGGCCACTACTTGGAAGCAATGCTTTGGGCGGGAATTCAGAGCGTTTCGGAGCTATGGCCTGGTGCCTGCGCTTGTCAACTCCTCAAGACCTAATCTATTTCAGCTACTTCACGGTGACCGTCCTAACTTCCAAAGCTGTATTCCCAATTTCACTGATCCACTCACGTCTCGGCCCTCCCAACTCTTCTGATCTGTCAGTTGCAGGTTGCATTGCTCCGGGGATGAGGGCAGTTTGGTGCATCACATGGTCGCGCGGGCACGCAGGACTTTTCCGAAAAGGAAACGTTGGCGCTGCACTTGCATATCTGTGGCTGCACAATAATGGGCACGGCGAAGGACTTCAGCATTGGATGCCCGATAAATTAATGCAGGTGGGATACGAAGAGCTTGACGAAGGCAACGGTTTTGAAAGCCGTTCGGTGGTCAGCATTTGGCTGCAGAAAGACACAGACCACTTAGCAACTTGCACTGTGCAACACTTTGGACTCGATGAGAGCTCTTTTCATGTCGAGTTTGGAGTCGCGAGATGCCGACCGTCGTGAGTAGGAACCGATGCAAGATAGTCTATACCGGATTTGGGCTCGATTCGTTCACCCGTTGGAGCCCGAATAGAAGAACATCCAAGTGGAGTTCCATCCCATGCAATTTGCTAGTGTCCCGCCATTCGTGAAAGAAGCTCCTGCCAGTGAAGGTCAGAGGAGGCAAGTAGCAATCTGTCAGCCCGATGGTACGCATCCAAAGACGAGATAGCGAGTTGAGTTATCATTATTGAATTATGATAGCAGTTGATTATGGAGCAAATTTGGAACCGTCCAGTCCCTGTTGTGGGGTTCTTTGGTGGTTCCTTGATCGGACCGGCGGTCGTCTAGGTGCCGGTGGTTGCAGTTTTCAAGACGGCATGCCGATAGCTTTGCCCGTCCAAGCTCCCGCCGTTGCGTCGATGGTTGGGTTCACTTCTGCGTCGGGACTCGGGCAGCTTCTTTTTAGGCAGGTCTTGGCCCCGACATTCTGACAAGAACACCAAGCCGGACTGGGAGGCCCGCCGACTTGCCTGAACCGCGATACAACAAACGGAACCAAGCAGGACTCCGAATGGACCCACACATAGACCCAGGAATTGACCAGCAAACCGGCACACACAACCGTGCCCGCGTGGCCTCTGGCTCGGTTACGACTTTCTGAGTGCTTGGGTGGTGGGTGGGTGGGGATGCAGGCTGTGCTTTCGGGGCAAAGAGTCAAGAGGGGCCATGAACATAGGAGTCTGTGGCAACATGGTATATGGCAGGTGTACTGCAACGAGGGACAGGATATGAAACATGGTAAGGGCCGGGAGTTGCTGCCTCACTTTCAGAGCTTTGCACAATGCCTGCTTGAAAGCACAGCTCCAAGCCGACATGTCTTAAGATCTGCTCAAAGCCCATGCAGCGGCTGTACTACATTTGCATCAGAAGACACCATCTCGGCCTAGTGGGCTTCTCCGCAGCGCTTCGGTGAGCGCTGTGCCCTCCTCACGAGGTGAGGCCTGCAGGGCTTGCCAGGAATGCAACACGCCCCGAAGTGCCCCGTGACCGTTGATTGAAGGCCCATCTTGAATGCCAGGGCCGGGGATCACGCACTGCAAAAGACGGCGGAAGCAGGTTCTAGCGAGCAACAGGTACGGTACTAGGCATCTTTTTGGCAACTGGGACAGCTCTGGAGCCGCCATCCTTACCATGGTGTGCGAACTTGGTTTAGGGTTTTTCAAAGGGTGATCCGAAAGACGAGAATTATTTGGGTTGCTAACCGCAACACGTATTTTGGGAGTTGTTTCAGATTGGCATCTCCGTACCCCCCAAGAAACATCGCGGACTCCCGCTGCGGAAGACAGTGCACAAGATCTTTTCGAGGGCTCGCAACTCGGAAATGGATTCCGCGGGCTCTATATTGGCAAAGCCCAGTTGCGCCTCCAAGCCATCAAGGCTCAGTGCTGGAAAATCGCGGGAGCTGCAGTCTTGTTCTGGACATCTTGCTTCAAGCTGCACTACGGGAGTTCATCATCAGCCTCTCTCCTGCACACTGCCACATGCTTCCTGTCGTAGTTAGGGGATGTTTGAAAGAAGTACGTCATTCCGATCAGGCGGCTTGCGGAGAACAACATTAATACGATGCCTGCTGAAGCAATCTAAATGCACAGGAAACCAGACTTGGAGTCCTGGTTGCATTGCTAATCACGCTTCGAAGTGATAGGCCAGGTCAAGACTGTGCAAACTCTCAACGCCGGCTGTCGGATCAGGTCATCCCGTCAGCCTGCAGGCTTGTGTTCGGCAAAGTTCTGTGGGGAATCTTCTGCCAAAGCCTGGGATGCATAAGCTGCTTGCTTTGATGGATGCTTGCCAGATGTGTGCCAGACGTTGGTGCCTACGAAAGTTCACTGATTCTGGCCCTGCGAAGAGATAGTGTGCGTGGGCACAGCCGAGAAAACCTGAATCCGCGACTGCCTGAAGCTGTCGAAGGATTCCCGAGTGGCATCCTCAAGCTTCTTCCATTGATCCTCCGGAGCCTGTCCGGCACAGCACGCCTTTGTTTTATGGAATGGCATGTGAGCCAGTCGCGTGTCAGAGAAAAGCTGGTGGTGAATATGGTACCCACACCTGCCTGTCAAAAGTATGGTTCGACCAATCTGTTCCTCCGCCCCGGAATGCAGGACCAAGCCGTCTCATAAACTTCTGGCAGTGCAGCATGGCCGTACCATCCCTTTCAACGATGCCTTCGGGGTGTCGTTTGGTGCAGCAGTTGCAAAATCGGGCCCTACACCTGCAACCCCCCCCAGGCGCGAGTTTTGGAGACCGTCACACATCCGGCCTGCGACGTCAAGGTGTACAGGCGTCCTTTCTTCAAGGCCACCCGCACCTTCGATGCTTCTCACGTGTGATGCTCCTCTGACTTCGACAAGTCTGCCAGCATATTGCCAGAAAAGACACGAAGCTGCAACATATACTGTCAGAACCAGCGAATATGAGCATTTCAGCTATCGAGATACTGTGCCGCCATTGCTGAGTCGCGGGCGAGAAAATGATTGAAGCCTGACCGTGACATGGGTCGGTACCAGGAAGCTGTACGAGATCGAAATCCCTGCTCTACATGTTCCTCAACAGACTGTGCAACTGGATGTTGGTCGAAAGTTTGGAAGCGCAGCAGCAGCAAAGGCGGCAGCAGCGGCATGGTCGCTGAACAGGTCTTCGAGGAATCATTGGTGATGATGATGTTGCGGCTACTAGTACTGTACTGTATGACAACTGCGGGTCAATTGCTTTGTACCACTGTGGACATGTCTACGGTGAGGACAACGGTGAACGTGATTGATAAACTTGAAAAGGTCAGGTGATTAAAATGGCAATTTAGAGGCATAGCCTGGACATCATGGCTGTTTCCTGACTGATGGCTAGCCATGATCTTGTCGAGCAAACGGCCTCTATGTGTATAAGTATGTGTATACACACTTATGTATGTATATGTGTAGGTATATGTGTAGTATAATGCATGAGTAACTAGATGTAAACCATGTCATACCAAACCGTATCATATATCATCGTACCATACCATGTCATATCATAGCATGTCATATCCTATGATATGATGTGATATCATATGATATTGTGAGATATCATATGATACCATTTGATATTATATGACACTATATGATATCATATGATATCATATGATATCATATGATATTATATGATATCATGTGATGTTATATGATGCCATATGATATTATATGATACTATATGATACTATATGATATTATATGAAGTGCATAATAATGTGGTCTGTCGATCATCTAAAGATAGGGATGTTGCATGACATTGTATTATGTCGTACTGTATTATTGTTATATGAAATCATATTATGTTATGTGGCATTATGTTATATGATGTTCGAACATGTTGTCTGACAATGTATTTATATGAGATTCTACCATCATATTAACACTGGATTATATCATAATGTATCTTGTACTATACTGTAGCATACTACTTATATTGTTGCACATATATATATATATATATATACATATATATATATATACACACAGAGACATGTGCACACGTGCACACACACACACACACACACACTTGTGCATGCATGCACGAGCACAGAGCGTACATATCATATGTGCCTGCAGACAGACATGCACACATGCATGCACAAACACACACATACAACTATGCCTACAACATGATCTTCTTCATATCCAAAACAGATACGAGCATGCAAGCATGCATGCATAGGTAGATACGCACACTCATACATAGATATATATATATATACAGGCGTACATCATATGGACATACACAAATGCATACATCAACAGCATATGGCATAAACACCTACATACAGATACAGAAACAGACAGAGACACGCAGGCACGGAGAGACAAGCAGTTCGATGCTCGAAAACCGCATGATTCGAAGGCACGCATTCGCTCACGCCCCTTATGCCAATAACAGCCGCTGTTGACTTTGCTACAGCTCCTGTAACCAGGCAAAGCAATCACCAGATATCGCCACCATGGTTACATGCCGACGACGACAACGACCAGAGAGAACTCTTAATCTGCGAGTCTGAAGATTTGTGAAGCCGTCATGTTCAAACGAGGCTTGGAGTTTTAATGCTTGATCCATGAGCAACTCGCTTGCGGGGATCAACGACCAAGACGTGCAGAAGATGCACAATGGTGCGTGCTGAACTGGGGATAAGTTGAGGACTTCATCATCGGCCACAATTCAGCCCGAAGTACGATCTGGGATCTGCTCTTCAAGCTTCGCAAACTACCAGTCGAACTCAGCCTCTTTCGTGAGGCCGAGCCGTGTGATCCCTTGAGCTTCAAATGCCAAAGCCCCGCAAGCCCGCGGCCTCGTGAGGTATCGCAACGGTATTCGATGAGGTAGGTTCGCGCCTCCCCGGCAGCAACCTGCAGAACCCACGGCTGAATTCCGGCGAACTGCTTCAGGCAACTTTGCTTCATTGTTGATAACAGCGAATGAAAGGACAGGTGTGAGTTGTGCGCTGCCGGGCTAAACCCAACACCGAACTTCGGAAATCGCTGCAACGCCACTCACTCATGGTTTGCCGTCGCGCTTTGACGTAGAGCTGGTGTTCAAGCGAGTTGTGTCTATCACAGATTAACGACTTCACATTCCTGCTAGCTTGTTTCTCAGTGGATCAATTTGATGGCGGCAAGGAGCTTGGCATATCGCACATCAGCCATCATGCCAAGGCTTCAATGACAGAACGTGACGTCCTATAGAGCAGCGCACAAGGACAGCCTCCTTCGCGGAAAGAACATCCGTTGTGAAGTTCCCATCCTTCCATCAGGAAGAAGGCTTTCCACACTTCGGCGGTTGGGGAGTCACTGGGAACCGGGTCAAACGGGGCATCACGGCGCAAAGCCACACTGCAGCACAGCAGGTGATGACCTCAATGCTCTGTCTCTTGCTTCATCAGAGAGCCTGTGTGCGAGTCCTTCTGTCGCTCGATGTCCGCAATCCGGTCGGCCACAGCATTGACCGAGCCAACATCGGACCTTTTCTTCAGAAGCATCATTGTGGCCCTGCAACAAGCGCACCTGCTTCGCCGTTGTGGCGCCTTGCAGCCAACGTTCTGCTTGACTTCACGGCTTTCGACTTGCAAAACATGAGCTGGACCAAATTATCGTGAGTGGACGCTATGCATTGCATGCGAAGCTAGGGTCTACTTGTGGTTGAGCGCTGCCTTATGTCTATGACCGTGACCCTCAAAGCACGCTAATTATTCGTGCTGGTTCCATTGTGTTTGGTGAGCCGTCAGCAAGCCTGGTTGGAGGGTCCCGTCCGAACATGACTGTGTGTGCAGGGTCTCGATGGCAATCCGCCGTAGCACCCATCAAAACCCTTGATTCTACGAGTGATCACAAATGGCTCGCTTGTGGACTGCAGAACTGCAACTTGATGTTCAGACGATTCAACTAATCCCGCCGAACGAGGCCTCCGGTGCCTGTCATGCTAGGTATCCGGACAGGCTGTTGGCGAAGACCTCGTCGATGGTCAAGCCCACTTTCCTTCCGTTCTGAGCTTAGGAAGCGTGCCAGGGAGATGCGGGGCCGAGAACAGGCTTCAAAAGTAGCGTGAGTAGATGTGAGTAGCATACAAGTATGTATTGCGAGACCACATTTGCCCTGTAGATGTGTTGGAGTCCCAGTGCCCCCCAACGTTGCACTGCACGATCCTACTGAGATGCTTATCTTCAAGTTGTCGAAACACCTGACACCCACACGACCTCTGTGGCACCGAGGGCAGTTGCCAGGGGACACTGCAAGCTCAAGGCGTGTGTGATTGCTCGGTAAAGGGATAAACAGACAGATGCACCAGGGCAGTTCCCAGCACACGACATCAGCCTGCAAAGCGGGAAATCACCGCAGGAATGTATGTAAGAGCATGAGACATGTTGTGCATTCGACTGCCTTCGTGCATTCAAGCCTCAAAGCTAGAGCATGCTTCCAAAATGTGCAGATCAAACCCCAACCCAACGAATTCTCATTCGAAGCATTACCTGCTCCCAGCGGCCACTTGCCGTAAGGGTCGGATGCACCCACACTCTGCTCGAAGAGATGAGTCTTCGCAAGGATGAACTTCCTTGCAAGTGGTGCTAGCCAAGGCATCTGCTGGGCCTGCATATGCCTGCTATGCTTGGTGAGATCCATGTCTTCACGGGCCCTGAGCAGGTCCCAGGCCTGCTAGGGCTCTGCTGTGAAGAGGCAACGAGGCTCGAGACTTCGGCATGGCAAAGGCTCTGAGAGGCGGTGAGTGTCAAGAGACTTATGGAGTGCTCTTCGTGGCGACTTCCGTTCTATCCGCCATACAGTGCTGAGTTTGAAGCCTGCTGCCTTGCTCCAAGGGTCTCGTTCCAAGTGAATCCCTGCGGCAGCTGGACGCTGAAGATCTCGTTGCCAATTTGCTTCAGGCCCTCCTGGCGCTTGGCTTGGGGAGTTGTGCCAGTGGGTCTCTGGCATCGCAACGGACATTCTCTGAAACATGTGGACGGATATGGGACCTCCGCCTGCGCAGCGGTAGGAAGCAAAGCAAGGCTCAACCCCAAGGACCGACGCCGGCGGAGCTTCACCTCAAAGCAACAAAGCAATAAAGCAAACGCATCCCTACTATCGCTTTTCGTCTTCCCCGCCTGCCGGCTTCCGCATGCCGCTGCAGCAGCGCCGAGGGCCGGCCAGGAGCTCGGGGCCCGGCTGCAACCAGCCTGGGGCCCACAAAACGACTCCCGGTCCCCTTCCGGCCGCGTCCCGGCCCGGGTGCCTGTTCTGGAACCTCTGGCGGCCGCTGAGCTTCGGAAGCTCGGCTTGGGATTGCAGGGCGGCTCGCTGCCACGCTGGCGAAAACAAGCGCACACATGGCGCCTCTGTTAAGCCAGGATCCTGAACAGGCCTGAGGTGTGTAGTTCCGTCGGGTTGGGTGAAGATTCGGAGGCCTTCACTTACCGCTCTCTGCGCAGCTTCTATAGCTAACCTCCTGAAGAGCTGCAAGCAACTGCACATTCATTTGCAACATGCCCAAGCCGACTCCCTGACATTGACTTTCTCTATCCGAAGATGCCAAGACGGGGAGGAGGGGTTCCGGGCTGCTGGATCCCCGGCTGATACCTGCTTGGACTGCCATACCTGTATCCCTGCATCTGGGGCTATCAATACAGTGTTGAGGCTGTTTCGAGTTACGATTCTGATGTCAGCTTGGCATAAGAAGCCCTCAACCACCGCAAACACGATACTTCGATCTTTGAAAGCGTTCCCGAGCCCTGATTTCTGCCCAACGATGCGCCTCTTGAGCTTTTCGAGGGACCTTCCACAGTCATGGGCTCCCACGGAGGCAAATACGCTGCACAGTTTTCATTGCATTCACGCTGTTGCTCCCTAAAGAAAGGAAACGCATGCATTCTTGTTGTTTCTGACTCCATGCCTGGTCGTTCTCATTTTCCTTGTTGTTGGAGGTTGACAACAGCCTCACTGCGGCAGCAGCATGCCCTCACACTCTGCAAGCTCTCAAAGTCAGAAACTCGGGCCGGGCACTTGCCCGCAGAAGGAGACCACGTCGTGGGTGACTTGGCCTTGGCTGTGGCATGAAGCGGACGACGACCCTCGTGCAAAGAAGCACAGTTGGCCGAAACACCCTTGTGCATCGCCAGCGTTACTAGCCAGTTAGGGGCTCGACGGCTGTCCATTGCACCTACTTAAGTTACGGCACCGGTGATGCCTGTAGTCATCGTAGTCTTCTTGACAACCGGCCTTAAGAGTGGAATGTAACTTGAACACCTCCAGTTCGCGTGTGATCCGGCCATCACCTTGGAAGCGGACGTCAATCGGCAGCACATTCTCCGAACCTGCAGAACAACGAAATCATGATTCACCCCTGAGACAGCCTCGAGCTGCCGCAAGCTGCCACAAGCAGCGTCGACCCGTCATGGCTCGTCCAGTCCGGTCCTGCGCCTCCATTTCGCTGGCCCAGCGGCCTCTTCTGCTGAGGCCTCAAGCGCTCAAGCAGTGCTCAAGCACTCCCCGGCTTTTCCCTGTTACGGTCCGTTGAGGCAAGGCATCCTCTCGGAGATGATGGACAAGCAAGAGTGACACGCTTGGTCATGCTTGTGTGTTTTTGTGGCACGCAGGATGTGTTCATGCCCCAACTGAACAAAATATAACGTGCCACTGCAAGGTTTCGCAGCACGCAGTTGGGAGGTCCTTCGCTGTCGAAACGCTAGAAACTCAAGCAGCGAAGGTTCGATTGCAAAGTCTCACGTCTCAAGAAGACCCCGGAAGCTCTGGCTCACAACCTTCTCGCGACTTAGGGGCCTAGCGGTTTTTTTTCTGGTGAGCTTCTGAAAACTTCATGCCGCAGAGTGAGTGGGCACATTGACAAGTCGGCGATTTCGAGGAACTCGGACCGCACCAGTCCGAATGCAGCAGCAATCGGCAATCGCTCCTGCAGTCTCCAGGATGCTACTATGCTACGCTGGTGACCCTCTCCCCTCGACGAGGTCAAAGAGAGTCCAAGCCCCGAGGCCGCAGCCGGATATGCCGAGCTTGCTCCTGGCCGAGTCGTGCGACTTCAGCTGATTCAGCTGATGCACTCTGCGCACGCTTTGTTTCGAAGGCGACGACAACGCCAGTAGGGGCTCTCGTTGCGGAGTGCAAGGGGATCCGTGCCGTGCTCTGCTGGGAGGTGCCTCCAGCAAATGCTCCTGGCACAGGCCCAGCGATGCCTGAAAGAAGACACTGCGGTTTAACCAGAGTTTTGTCTGTTGTCTACAAGATCACACAGCTAAGCACATGTCACGGACCTGAAGGCACTCGAATACTCAGTCAGACGCATGAAACAATTGGGGTACACAGTATACTAGAAGCCATCTGCGCTCAAGCTTTGACCCGACGAGCCCGGCACCTCGCAGCGGCTCGACGGAGGCCTCTGCCAGGGGTTAGAGAGGACGAGGACTCTTCTTACCATGCTCTCCATGCTGCGCTCCCCTTGTGAGCACGTGCTCTCTTGCTCTCTGCACCGGCTAGCGCTCGTCTTCCTAAGGAAAGCTCGAAGACGGCTGGCGATCACCATGCCCTTGGGCCACAGCTCCCGTCTGTGCAAGGATGGTGTCGCCACCCTGACCGTAGGGGCCAAGCTAGGACAAGAAGACTTTGGGAAAGCGTGAGTTCCATGTTCTGTCCGGTGGTCGAATGCCAACAACTCGCACAGACCAGCGCCTTCGGCCGAGAGTTTCAGCCACCATAGCGGCCTGACGCCAGGCAGGGAAACGACTCGCCCAGCAAAGTTGCCGAGCCTTTCACGCTACTGTCGAAGTGACCCCAACTTGCGGAGTTCTGCGTTGGAAGGCACTTCGCTGCAGTCCAGAGTTGCCCTCGAGTTCCTTGAAGCTCAGAAGGAGTGCACTAGCCTTTCTTGGCACTTCTTAGCCACGTCGCAGCAAGCGCCAGGCACTGTCTGAAGCCCTGTCTCTTGGGACCTCACCTTCAGATCTGCTCTTTGCAGCCCGGCCCCAACCTCCCTCCCGGCTGCCAAAAAAAACGCGCTGCGGTACAGATGTCAAAAGTTTTCAACAGTGCTAGCACGTGTGGGACTCCTGATCGCTGCGTTCGAGGCGGCATCACGCGTTCCGGGGTTAGGCCTTAGAAGCTACTAGTATATCCGTGTAGAAAGGCTTCGGTCATGTAGTCCACTCAGTCTGCAGAAAAAATGGATGAGGAATCAATGAGGATATGCTGCTCAGAGCACGCATTGCAAACAAATGTCCAGAGTTTACGCAGACGCAGCGGCGACTTCTTACACAAGGCCCCCACCCACCAATAGTGACCAGAACAAATACGATGGTGGTTAGTTATATTCGGGTGCCTCTGTGTTCCCATGCTACCAGCAGTAGTGGGGTGGGGACTATCCTTAGCGACTTCTACAAATCAAGTTTAACAGCTTCTCGGAGTAGAACACACACCCAACAACCCGAAAAACCGTGATTCCCGGATGTCACTGAGCTGCCAGGATTTCGGGCACAGGGACACGACTCGCAGGGCACCAAACTCTCGAAGACTCGTTCAACATCACCCAAACCCGGACCCACACCCTTGCGTCAGGGCGCTAGTGCAGATTAGTTTTTCTGGAAGGGCTCTGGGCCGATGGATTTCGTGTCGGCCGGGAACTGCCTTGGAAAGTGGAAGTTAACTCCGGCTGAAGGGAAATGGCCAGGACAATGTTAACTCTACCGCAAGCGCATTGTTTGTGGTGCGAACAGGTTGTCACACATCAGGCCATACGGAGATGCTGCAATGAAAGATCCGGCCTCCACATGGGTCTTGCGCCAAGAATATGTTACCGTCTACTTTGTCTAGCTTCTGCCCATGTTTGTGAGTGCAATTGGCCATGCCAAGTCGTAAATCTGGCGATCCCAAACACGAAATGACAAGTAGCTTGTTTTGACCGTGGCACCGGCTTTTGTCCAAACAGCTTACAAAGTCATGAAATTATCCTGTATTGCAACTGAAGCTGCTTCTCCGATTCGGCTGATGTCCATCGGACCACAGCTTCTAGTCTATCACCACGAACGAGCGTGCTACACACGAACTTTTGTGATGACCAGGCTTGGTGTGGTCAGGATTGTCTGTCGCCACTTGTGACTTCTAATGATGGAGGGACCTTGAGAATGCACTCACCGTCTGAAACGGCTCCCGCCTGCGTAGGTTTCTGGCAACTCTTTCAAGTCCGGCGAGTTCGGGCCTTCATCTTTCGGCGATGTTGCGGAACTCGACGTGTTTTTGATGATGGGAGGCCAAAAGGCGGGTTTAAGATTCTTGGGGCAGGGATTCCTGAATATGAACCCGATCATGGGAACCCTAATCCCTACTAAACCCCCATAAGCTAAAACCCCTTTTGGCGTCCTATGATTTTGATACATCAACAGTCAGCTCGGCGGTTTGAAGGAATGCCGCAGTGGTGTTGAGACAGCACAAGCTTCGGCGGAAATTCTGCTGCTACAGCATCTCTTACGCAGGAGCGATGGCAGGTTGGACAGGATCGTTCCGAGCAGGTGGCAAGTTGAAAGAAAAGATCTACAGTCCCTCGATATGCTTGCGCCCAGAAAGGAGACTCCGAAGTGAGCCCGGCCTGGATCCATGCCCAGCTGCACACGGCGCTGCCTCAGTGCAGTTGAATCCGAGCTTGTCGACTATGCAAGATAGACGAATCCGAGGCCACTGCTGCTCTGCAAGGAAGGCGCTGGTCTGTCACGATGCGAAGCTTGGGAAGCGGGCGGGAGGGAACATAGGATTCAAGGCGCTCGTAGCTTGAAGGGCCAGCGGGCCAAAGTTGTGAGCGCAACCACAAGCTGCGGCAAGAGAGAAACGAGCGCTGAAGTGGGAAACGGCTACGGTGCGAGCCTCGCGCAAGCCCAGCACGTCCTTTTCCACGGCCCCACGAAGATCCCCCGTCCGGCCTGAGACACTCAGAGCCAATCGCCATGGATTTAGGGAGCCGCACTTCTGATCTGGCTTGGTGGTGCGATCCTGGAGCAGCTTCCCTTGTTCGGGCGTTGCTTTGAAAGTCCATTTCCGACTTGCTGTGCGCAATGTAGATAGCCATGCCAAAGTCCGGGGTCTTGGAAATTAAAGCAAAGCTATGCCGCATCATGAGATCCCCGTGTTTCCCAGGTTCGGTGGTGGACATATGAAGATATTTCTCGCCTGGAACATGTATCTTGACAAAAGCCCTGCTGTACTGAACTGCGCAGAAACGGGTGATGCAAATTTCGGGCGCCAAGAGTCTAAACTAAGACGACGCGAGTGAGGAACATGGCCGGGAGAAGTCGGGAACAAGGAGGGGGCGAGTCAGGAATGCAATCAATGACTCGGAAATACAGGCGAATCAGGAAAGAGGGCTTGAGGTGTTAGAATTGAAAAGGTTTTGCCGCGGAATTCCCCACAATGAGATGTTGGTTGCGAAACCCAGAACTCTAAAAGGAGATGTTGGTTGCCAAACCCTAACAGGAGATGTTGATTGCGGAACCCCGTACCGTTGGAGGAGATGTTGCTTGAGAAACCCTAGACCGTGCAACCCTAACCCTTCCAAGCAGATGTTGGAAAAAAACTAAAACCCTCAAATGATATGGTGGTTGAGAAACCCAAACCCCCAAGCGAAACCCAGAACCCTAGAAGGAGAGGGCGGCGGCCAAGCCCAAGGTCGCAAAAGAAGATTGAATGATAAACCCGACAAGCAGATGTTGGCTGCAAAACCCCCGAACCCTGCGGGTGTTTAAAGCTGTGAAACCCTAAGCCTTACACATGGATGTTGGTCAAAAACAGAAAACCCTAAAACGGGATGGTGGTTAAGAAACTCAAAACCCTAAAAAGACATGCCGGCGGGTTGAGGCACTCCAAGAGGATGTCTGCCTGCCTGAAACTTCGAGGGCTGCTACTGACAGAACCGGCGAGCAGATACTTTTGGTATTGACAGTAGGCATCGCTTAGTGAGGCAGCTAACTGTTTAACCCGAACCGCCAATCCCTAAACCTGCATTATTGTACTGACGGCAGTTCATGCCTGATTCTTGACTCCCTGTCTCTGTGATTCCCAACTCTGCCTCACCTTTCCCGCCCCTCTCGCTCAGGTTCCTGATGCATGGTTCCGAACAAACCCTCACGGCTCCTGATAGGGCACCGCCCGTGCAGAAAGCACGCTGAAATTTGCTTACAGTGTTGTCTGATGCTGTAGGGATACGGTTGAATGAAGGATAGTTGATTGGTCTGTGCCCAAACACGTACTTGTGGTAATCCTACGTTGCAGAGTGGTTAAAGGCATCTCGAGGGCTACACCCGGGACCCCGGCCCAAAGCCTCCCGCTGGGCTGTTGCCTCTCGGTGCGCCTTTAACGCAGAAACTTCGGAAGGCTTGGGCGGCTACGCGGGCAGGCCGGGGGCTGTGGTCAACAGTACAATTACAATTGGTCTTTCCACACACAGCTTCGGCTTGCTTATGCCGCTATGCATCATTTGCTTCGATGACCAGTTGCACTTCTCTCAAAACGTTGAGGGTTAAAGCTACCGAAACATCCATCTCCATACATGGCTTGTTCTACCGCTGTCTGCCAAGGTGTACCGTGAAGGAGGCAGCGAGATGCGAGGGGCCATAAGTGTGATCCTTACATGGAAATGCCGCCACCCTGCCATGCCCTGCCGCTGCCGCAGGGCACGCTCGCGCCTCCCCGATCCGTGCCCACAGGCGTTGGAGCTCCTCCACAAAGTGTGCGCTCTCTCCCGATGTTTTGGCTGGTCTTACGGGGCCGGGCCGAAGGCGATGGCGTGGGAGCGGTGTCATGGGCAGAAAGTGAATGGATGCAGTAGCAAACAGCAGCAACCAACCACTGCCAACGCCAAATTCTGAAGCGCAAGGTGCAACAACAACAACAACAACTACAACTCCCTCAATGCTTAGCTTTCACAGAAAGGCAAAACATTGTCGGTGTGAGAACAGGCAGCGACAGCATCTGCTCATGCAAGGCCAGGAAGAGCTAAACATCTGGGGCTGGCGGAAACTGCCTCCTCCGCATTCTCGGTGTCTGCGCGGACGCGCGCTGCACTTCGCAGGCAAGCCAACGCCTTCACTGCGACCGTGGGACAAGTCTCGTCTGAGCACGGGGCATGCGAAGAACACGTGTGCCTGCATGGCCGAAGAGGCTAACACACAAACAGGCCAGATCTGGCTACTGCGGGTTCGGGGACGACTTGGGCGAAGCTTGGGAGCTCCCTTCGTGAAAGCATGCATCCGGCCACGAACACCTCAGAAGCATGGCCGAGAGCTTGCAGGTTGTCGCGGTCTCTCCGCATGGAAAGCTTAGGATGGTACCCCTTTTCACCAAGAACCATCACATGAAAAGAGTTGAACCTGCAGAAAACCACAAGCCTCTGACACAAAACATGCCCGAAAGCAGGAAAAGGACGAGTGACGCCTCGTTCTGGTGCATCTGGCCAACACGTCTAAGTTCCGAAGCCTCGCTGCCTTGCATGAAACATAGTCTGATGCAGAAAATTCGAGTGAAAGATGGGCGGGCGTGGTCACAGGCCAGGGCCGACGTAAGCGGAACGCCGGAAACCAGCAAGGCGCGGAGAAGAGGCTTTTATGCTAGCCAAGTCGAAGGCCGAAAACGGGATCCCCCACAGGCAGGCCTCAAGTAGAGAGAAGACTCAAATAAAGAGACAGTCGTAAGAGCCAATGTAGTGTCATAGGTTCAAAGTGATGCATGAAAGCTAGATCGACCTCGTTGCAGATATGTTCATTGGTCTGTGTGTGTGTGTTTGTTCGTCAGCTAAACCCCAAAAGCTTAAACCCTAATTCGGATAAAGTTTCCTTACTCCTCGAAAAGGCAAGTATTTTGGCCAAGGTAAGGTTTTCCACAACTCTGATCTACTGGCTCTGGCATTCCCGGCCAAGCCTCAACATCGCTACGGAGACGGAGACCACGCATGATGATTCTAAGCAATTCTGGCCCACTAGACTCGGCATTTTCGTTCCTTCTGCCCTCAGAGCAAATCAAAACACGTCAACCCAAAGCTCCGCCAAAACCTAACCGTGCTGAAAAGGTCACGGCAACCGAATTATGCGCGGCATGTCGCTTTCGACAAAGTTGAGGGGTGGACATGCTTAAGTCTGAAGTCCGAATCGCTAGAACTCAAGGGCCGAATAGCGGCCCCTGAGTGTGGGAGCCGTCGCGAACCGCGTGGCTCCGGTTACGGGCCTTGGGCTGGTTCCTCTGTTCCTGTTACTTGTTGCCAGTTCCGGTTACGGACAAATCGGATCCCTATACGGCAAACACACCCTCCTAAAATTGCATCTCAGGCGCTCCAGACACGGACGAGTCTGTGCCGGCCCAGCTCGCACTCCTGTGCCTCCTCGGCATGGAAACCGCGGATTGAAAGATTTTGGGCCGTGCGATTCTGATAGGTCACGCCCAGACCAATGCACCGGTGATCTCTTGCAATTTCATAGGTTGTACTCAGCAACCTTCAGGCTCAGAGACCAAGCTTCGGGAACCTATTTATGCAATACTCCAGCCCACTGTACCTCGAACTGTCGAACTGGATCCATGAACATGCTGGGAAACCCTTCGTGCACAGGCTCTCGTGTCGACAAGTCGCACCACGCTGCTCTAGAACCGATATACGAGAAGTGCATGATTGGCCCTCCTGCCGCTCATTCTGACTTGAAACAAGAGCTTGAAACCCTGAGAAGTGGCCGGCAAGAAAGCGGCAAGCACCATGCCGAATTTATCTGCATGTGCCATATCTTTGACCATGTCCTGGCCACAAGATGCCGCCTAGTTGCCACCTTCTTGCGCAACTGCGCACCCCCTCCCTGCATCTTGCAGATATGCTCCTGAGTTGTGATTCGCTTCCGATGGTCTCTCAAGACTTGTGGTCGGGCATTCTTCAAAGAGAATCCGAACAGGACTGGATACCGGTTGTCCTAGGCTGCACAGTTACGAGGCAAAAGACTCACAAAAGCGCGATGCAGAGCAGGAATGACACCCAAACGGCTGTCGTTGCCGTTGCGGTTGCTGTTGCTAGTGCGGTTGCTGCTGTTGTTGTTGTTGTTGTTGCTGGGGTTGCTCTAGTACCATTGCCACTGTTGCTATTCCCGGTGGGATTTTATGTAAGATTCATTCGAACTGGCTGTTATTCTTTGCTTGTTGTGATTGTTCTGATTGTTGTCTAAAGCCACTGCAGACGCTTTTCTTTTCATGCCGGAATGCCTCCAGCAGCACTCTCCGTCGGCACAGGGAGACGTGCAGCCCTTTCAGCTCCGCCACCTCCTCGCAGGGTTCAACGTGCTTCGACAAGGCTGCTAAGTATCCCAGCACGTCCGAAAGCCGAAATTTCCAAAACAGTCTGCTGATGGACTCCTGACGAACCGTGACAGAAGCTGCAGGACGGGCAACAGTCACGAGAGCCACAGCAAGGTTGACCATTGGTTGACCCCTCCGTTTCGATCGACAGCACGCGCAAAGCCTTCTTTCGACGAGTTCGGCCGCTTCTGATCGGCCACTTGGTGGAAAGCCTCTCGAGACGATGACTTCGAGACACGGATGCAGTCAAGGCGTCAAAGCATAACCTGCTGCTTGTTCTGATCTGCAGCAATGCCAATGCTCGGATCCACTACAGTGGCTCTTGAAACACACGAAATCGTCCAAGGAAGTGCACTGTTACCGGTCCAACCGGAAATGTATGATAAGATGAAGTCAGAATGCAGAGTGTGGATCCCATACTTCCTCCGAGCGCAGACGACCACGGAATGCCTACCTGTAGCTGTCGGAGCTTAGCATTCTTTCTCGTTTTCTGCTAGCTGCTCCGCATGTCGCAACCTTGCTGCGGTGACGGTCTACTTTGGAGGGACAGTCGCTGTCTTCTCCTTCGTGGGTCCGAGTGGCCGTCACGCACGGCTTCATTACGCGATTCAACCCGCGACCTCACACTCGAAAGTGTGAGCGCACGCAGACAAGCACTCCTCGTTGGCTCGCGCCGTCGCTGCCACCTTGGAGAAATGCTTGGAGGAAGGCTCGCGCAGCTTCTGTCAGAGAGCTGGAAGCCGAGGACTCTCTCAACGAGAAGCCTGAAGTCTGACGCTCATGGAAAGGAGCCTGTTGCTGCTATGAGATATCCAGAGATTGTTACCAATCTTGGATACGAGCGAGCAGCTAGTTAGACTTGCTAATTCCACTGCTGTTGCGCACGACACGCCCCGAGAAAGTCTCATAGACAAGGCCTCTCACAAATGCCAGTTCTGCCGGGCAGCAGCCCATTGCAGCTGTGCCTCATCATTGAGCAGCTCCACCTGCTAAATCCGATAGATGCAGGCAGTGCTACAATTGGAACTATCAAAGCTTACCTCTGCACGAGCTGGGACAGACTGCGCACGCTGCACATGCCTGCAGCTCCTCGCCATGGTTCCGATAGTGCTCCTGCAAGAATCGGGGCGTGCTCCCGTCGCTCAATTGGGGGATGGAGCCGCTAATTATAATTCATCGAGAGTCATCGTCATCACGAGCACTCCGCCGCGAATAATTTAACGCTGCCTTCACGCCTCCGACCCTCCAATGCCCGCAGCCCGCAGTCCTCTCCTTTTAAGAACGCATGCAAACTCACGATGTCCCACAACAACATCTGCAGCTTCGAAACACTGGTCTTTACAGCGGTATCAGCGATTCCATTCTGGCATCCAGGACAACGTCCACGCCGGCCACATCCACGATGAGTGGATCCATGTCAGCACCCATAATGCGTCCGTCCACCCCGACCACCACAATCATGACTTTGTGAGACTCACAGCGAGTTTCGCTTGCTTTTGCACTGGCAGATGGCACGGATTTCAGCTAAGTTTAGACTAGACAGTTGGCGAGACAGACACCGTCATCGCACCTGTCGATCACGGGCGGCAGAGGCGGCTGAATCCAAAAGCCCAGGAGAACAACCCTCCATCCTGCTCTTCGCGGATCTGGTGCTTCTGGGCAGAATCCTAGGAGGAGACCATTGAGTTGGAGCATGAAGTGACAGATCAGCGTAGCGTCCTACCGCAGGAATTGCAATGCATGTGCCCTTTGCGACAGAGGTGGGCAGCCGGTCACTTTACAGCCCTACTTGTGCCATCTTCTGCGCGTTGTTCTGTGGTTTTACCTTCATCAGCCCCCTCGCATCCCACATGGAACTCGCATGTGAGATCTTGTGTTGCCGACTTCGAACCTTTTCGGCAAGCTGTCTGCATGCCACAGGTAGCTAGACCCTGAACCCTGGACTCCGTCCCGACACAGCCAAATTCAAAGAGCCACGCTGTCAACGGGCAGAGGCTCACTCAGGCGGCCCTGTCCCCAACCTTGGTTCGTCGATCGCTGCTCCTGCCAAAGAACGGCTGTTCTCGCTCTTGGCTCTCAGCCTTCTGCGCGAGCCCACGAGGGCCACGACACTCTTGCGCGATATGGCTTTGTATCGGCAGTCAACAAACCGATGAGAGTACTGCCACTATGTCGCACATGCTAGGAGCGATTCAAAAAAACAAGCGACTGGAACATATGATTTCCAAGCGCTTTCTGACCCTCCCAACCTCCCTAGATGTCAAGAGAGAACAAACATGAGCAGCTACCCGGCCAATCGTTACTTTTTTCTTAGTTGGGTGGCAAACCCCGATGGCAAACTCGAAACCCGTCGGCAAACTTCGAAGCACCGAAAGAAGACATTGCCACACCCTAAATCCTGAAACGAGAAGTTTGTTGAACCCCAAAATCGATCGCGGATGTCAAACTTCAATCCCGGCAAGAAGATGCGGGTTGGCAAACCCTAAGTCGTATCCAATCGCTCTGCCACATAGGCGGAGCACGAATTGCGCTTCGAAATGGCCCCCAGTGCTAAGAAGTACGGGTGTTGCTGGCATCCTGGGTTCCGAGCAACGCGGCATTGGCTCACAATTACGATGTGTTGCCGCTGTCTTGGGCTCAAAGATGCTCAAAGTGAAGTACGAGTGCTAAGAAGTGCGAGTTGCTCTGGGCGTCTTGAGCTCCAAGCGCACCAATTTCAAGCAGTCTTGGATTCCACATGCTGCGATGAGAGGTACGAACTGTTAACAAAAGGTTGTCCTCCAACCCAAAATCCCAAACGGCGATGTAAGCTGGCAAACTCTGGAGTATAAATGAAGATACGGGTCGCCCGAGAAGATATTGGTTGCCAAGCCCAAACCCTGATCCCTCAAACCTGATGTTGCTTGTTAAACCACGAAGCCTAAAAGAATATTATTGGGCGGCGTGGCAAGCCCAAAGGAGATGTTGGTGGGCAAACCCCAAATACCTTTGCGATCTGTCTGCAGGGCTTTGCGTGGAATCTGTGGGACTGTTCAGCAGGACCAGCTGCACCAACAAAAGAAGAGTCAGCAGCAGTAGCAGAAGGAAGTGGTCCTCGGCGTTTTCCGAATCTGTTTTCTGAATTGGCGACCCGTGCTTCTGCCCGCCTGGTTTCCACGTTGTTTTCCTGAATCGCGGCACCGTTTTCAGAAACCCTCTACTCTCCGCACACTTCTTCATGCTTCGTGCAGCGCGTAGTCCGTTACTGTAGCCAGGCGGGGTGGCGTGGATAGACTCAAGCGATGCTCTAAACGCGTCTCGGGCTGCAGGCTTTAGACTTAAGGTGCCCGCTACGTGGTGAGGACTTTTTGTCGGCGTTCACACTCTCGATGCCTTGCATCGGAAGGAGTTACGGGCTTGGTCGGTGTCTATATATGGCAGATCGTGTGCAAAAGGCGTGAGGCTGGAAATCACAAGGGACGGCATGCTGACAACGGCACCGCAACAACTCCAACCGCAATTTGGCCCTGCTCCAAGCGCTGACCTGCAGCTCCATGCGCAGCATAGCGGACTCGGCCACGAGCTGTGCTTTGCGTCCAAGAAGCATCGCTTCTGTCTCCTTGCAGGTTGTCGAACGCACCATGAGTAGAATATAACGCTGAGCTGATCAAGGTTGTCAGCAACAGGGACGCTACATGTGTCAAGTGTCGAAGCATGCAGCAGTGTGCACGTGTGTCTGCGTCTTGGATTAGTCTTGGATCCATGGTTGTTCGCGCGTCTGTGCGCGTCCGTGCATCTGTGCGTGCGTGTTCGTGTGTACTCTGTACCAGGTTCGAAAGCAGTTCAGAACGTGTCCGGCTGACATTCTGACCTGCAGTCAAAAAGTTCTCACAAATGGCTCCTCGACATTCTCGATTCTCGCCTTCATTACCTTGGCAACAAAATCAGAAGCGCTTGGTTCAGACCTTGGAACTCGGCAACATGTCCAGCCCCGTCCAAGCTCAGGCCGAAGCCAAGAGGTCTTCTTTGAGATCGGCAGTGGCGCTTTCTTTTGCCTTCGACAACGAAAACCCTCTTATTGGCAAGTTGCGACACGAAGACCCACATCCCAGCCCAAAACAACACAGCAACGCCCTGATGAGGCCTCCAGCTCCGTTGCAGGAACCACCTCCGACACCTCTCGCAAGCGGACAGAAATTACGAATTCTGAGCCTCGCCATAAATTTTCTCAGAACCATCGAAGCAGGAATGAGAATGAGTAGCAAGGCCAAACAACAGCGACAAGAGCTCAAACGTAAAGACGGAGAGCAGTAGGTTCTGTATCAATGCGGCGCGGATTGTTGATCGTCATGTCATATGGAAGTGACATTGGGAACAACAGCGCGTGCTGCGCCAGTCAACATGCCTTTGACAGCACGCAGTGGTAGCAGTAGTGGTAGTTAGTGCTGGTGGACGTCGTCGTCGTAGTAGTAGTAGTAGTAGTAATAGTCGTCGTCGTAGTCGTAGTAGGTATAGTAGTAGCCGTCGTAGTAGTAGTAGAAGTAGTAGTAGTAGTAGTAGTAGTAGTAGTAGTAGTAGCAGAAGGAGAAGTGGGAGTAGTAGCAGCAGTGGTAGTAGCAGTAGCAGTAGCATTCATTCACCACGCAGCGAAGTGTCCAGGTTCGCCTAGCGAGCTGACGATAACCCGGTTTTCGGGGTATCGGAACCTCTTTTGGGTTCTGGAGGGCAGTGCCAGCTCCATCGACTAAGACTACACTTGCTCAGCATCAGGCACCAGGAGGTAGTACCTGACGTAGCCACACTATATATATGTTGTCATCGTGTTCTGTACTGACTGGCTTTGCGGTGCAGGAGTCATCAGTGATCCACCACTTTTCTGCTCCAAACAGCGGTTGTCCTCGTAAGATAGTTCTGTAATGCCCCATATCAGGAGTGGCCCCGTAGTGAAGCTGTACAGCGACGACCTGGTAGTGGACATAGCGAACTTGCATTGTGTGCAGACCTGTAAAGAGTGGCATACGAACTGTATTCGAGGCCACAACCAGTGGTCTGGTGTCCCTGCGCATGACTCCCTCGGCGTTTGTGAAGCGCTGAAGTTGTATGCAGAGCATGGGAGACGGGGTCAGCAGTGCATAACGAGCTGTAACCTGAGCACTCCACCCATCAATGGCTGCCTGGAGCTCCAAGCTTGGACCTGCCGGTAGCGCAATCGGGATGGGAGCTTGGGTAGGCCCCTTGTCAAGAGTGGCAATACCTCCAGGTACGAAGTTTCTGGCCTCCCAGCCACCATTGAACCCACTATGCGAGAACCTGGGTAAGAGGTATTGTAACAGCTCAGCTGCATCATGCTGACGATGTACAGAAGGCCAAGCTTGCAGCAGCATAAGCCACGGTACCGAATGGAGCACCTGAATGGGGCAATTAGGTGTGGCAGTGATTGGTGGACACAGCATGGTAAGAGCCTGCGGTGGAGGCGAGACGTAGGCATCATGCAGCCTAGCCTGACGGATTGTCCACAAAAGGGCATAGATAGTAGAGTGTAGGTAGCACAGATTTGATGGATTGTGGAAAATCAATCGAAGGACAGCCTTGAGACTAGGGCACGCACTCAGTATGGCATCTGATGTTGCCACACTTCCTGGACCAGGGTGTCGTAGTTCGGTCGATCGCGACGGAGCCTGCATCCCAGGGTGTGCCACGATGCTTGTCCGATCCACTGGTTCAGCGTGCTCCACATGGCTCCTCCCTCTGGGCGAAGTGACATGCAGATCTGGAATTGAATCCAGTCGGAGGTCACCTCCGTGGTGAGCTTCCGCATGGACTTGAACCTCACCAGGGTCTCTTCCGTAACTGCCTTCCTCATCTGAACCAGTTGAGCCAACAGATCTTCCGCCGGTATTGGCCTCACCGAGTTGTCGACTTCCAGACATTGTTTGGTGGGATTCCATGTAAGATGTTTCCAATGTTTCTGATCGTCGATCCAGTTCAGGTTCTTGGCTTTGGCGAGAGCATCCTCGTCCGCGATCATGTTGGTCAACCTCTGGTGTAGGGTGATGAGCAGCTGCTTGAAGAGCATGAGTTTGAGGGAGTAAGTAATCTTCTCGGGTTCTTCCTCTTTCATCTTCCTCCACTTCTCCGCTGCTTCGCAGAGAACTGGTACCATCCCTTCTGGACCGGATCGTACAAAGAGGTAGAGGACCAGATCCTGACGGATGGCTGAGATGATTTGCTCCTGACGAAGGACCAGCTGGGATAGTCGATTCATCCTGTACTCCATCCAGTCTGGATCTTGACTTCCCAGTGGCTGCAGGTCCTGAGTCTGTGTCCAGGGATTGGGTGGATGGCTTCCGAAACCATTTGTGTAGCCCGTGACCGGGTTGGCACTGAATGGACTTGGTAGGCCCTGCTTTCCCTTGCCTTTGCCCTTGGTACCCTTGCCCTTGCCTTTGTTCCGGTCCTGTGGTGCCAGACGCTGCCTCTTGGAGTGCTCCGTTTGATGCAGCACATCTCTTCTCGGTTCCTGTTCCCGTTTGACCGGACCGGCCTGGGCCCAAAATTGCCTCTCCTGTTCGTCCAGCTCCATGGGATCCGCAGCGAGCGTCATGGTGCGCTGCTAGAAATGCACAGATATGCAAGACATGACACTGTTTCCAATGACGATCTTTGTTGATGTTTCGCTGATGACAGTAGCGACATGGAACAACAGTATGTCGGCGGAAACCAGTAAGAAGCTTGAGAGTCGCAGGTTGGCAGTCTTTCCACTCTGGATGTTGCATGGTGAGATGATACTTGATGCTGGTAGGAGTGGCTAGCCACTGGTAACACAGCGGGCAGTGGTGCTGGAGATACGAGTAGATCTCCGGTTTCTCAAGGAGGTCAGTCCACCTGCGTGCACGTAGTGTCTCAAGAACATGAGATTGTTGATGAAGAGGTACAGCCTCATGGCTCGGCGCAGTGGAGCTGTCCTGCAGGGGAGCGTCTAAGACAGGGGGTTCAGGTATAACGGCAGGAGCAGGAGGGGGCAGAGCAGCCTGATCGTCTGACAGGATGCAGGTCCCCTGAGAGAGGTCCTGAGGTGGCAGGGTGGCCGGGGCAGGGACTGGTAAAGGCTCGGATTCATTGGAGCTCGGAGCCAAGGGTGGGGCATCGGCAGGAGGTTGTGTAGCAAGTTTGCGGAGTACCTGACACCGATTGCGTTTAATGTGCTTGACGAGGCCGTCCCATTGTCGGAAGGGATGGGCACAGTGTCGGCACGTTGGAAGTCCTTCTGTTCCATGTGCATACCTGTCAAAAGGCACCGGGACAGCAGCAGGGGTTTTAAGTCCATGCCACTTAGCCTCGTGAGAGCGGAGGAGCCGAAAGGAGGTAAAGACCCGATGACACTCCTGGCACTGGTGCACGGCAGCAGTGTCTCGAGCTGATTCCACCTGGGCTTGGGTCACGAAGCTCGTGTCAGTGCTCAGGCTGGTCAGGCTACGATGCAAGGCAGCGGCTTCCCTCTGCAGATGCTCCAAGATGGTGGACAGGGAGCATCTGTGCAAAAGGGCCTGTGTGGATTCTTTCTGAAGATGTGCAAAGGATCGGGTGATGGCTCGAACCTGCTTGGTCATCATGTGCTGCATACGCTGGATGTCCTTGGCACCTGGGTTGGATGCCGCGATGCCATAGAGCAGCGTGGGAAGCACTGTGGATTTCCACAGACTGAGACGATGTGTCTGAGCAAGATGCCTGGTGGAGCACAGTACACCACGGAGTCTTTGCCAGGCCTGGTTCGCAGCCTGCAGCCGATAGGTGACTGCTTGTTTGGCCTGTGAATGATATGAGATGCGTATGCCCAAGTACGTGTGATGGTCACGCAACGGAATTTCATACACCGTTCCCAGGGGGCTGCGAAAGCGGAGTAGATCCCCCTCGGGTTTGGGTATGAGGTGTCGGCGCAGCCAGCCTCGGATGAAACTGCCCTTGTGTCTCAGTAGCAATGCTGATTTGGCCGAGTTGATGACCATACCATGGGCGGCAAGAGCATCGAGGATCTTACTAAAGCGATACACCATGTCGTCCAGCTCTCGAGTAGTCTGCACAGTATCCTTGAGGTGTATGTCATCTGCATAAATCGTGGAGCTTTGCTCTAGCCAAGGTGCTGTGAGGAGCGGGTCCCCCTCGGCAAGAAGCTCACGATATATCTGTGCCAGGGCTAGGGTCCAGAGCAACGGAGCCAGTTTACACCCTTGTCTAAGTCCTCTTTGGGCCTCTACCTTGGCAGTGTGTCCAAGGTGGGTAAGGACATAGGAGATTTCAGAGTGCCAGGACATGATTTGGTGTCTTAGCTCAGCCGGAACTTCGGACGCAAGTAAAGCCTTGTCCAGCAGTCGCCAGTCCATGAGGTCAAAAGCACTGGACAGGTCCAGCGATAGTTGTGCACCTGCAAAATGTGGGCAGGGTTTCGGCTGTTGAGCGTGACGATCAACAACCGTAGGTGTGGAAATCGAGCAGCGATCCTGGACATATTTGCAGTGTGCAGCAACCCGATGTATGGCTTGGGCAGCATTGCGACCTGGCAAGTATGCAAATTGTGCCTGATCCGCAAGGAACCTCTCGGCATAGGGGCGCAATTTCGCCTGCAGTATGGAAGCATATGCGCGGCCACTGGATTCAGTTAACCCTATCGGTCTGAGATTCTTTGGTGAAAGTGGTCGCGGAATCTTGGGAACAAGAGTCAACCATGCATTTCGCCAAAGCTCAGGTATTTGAGGCCATTGCCGGCACCATTGGCACAAGAGGGGCGCAACAAGGTCCGAGGTCAGCCTCCATAGAGAGTTTGTGGCTAGATGCGGAGGTGTAGCTTTGTGGGGTGACAATTGCGAGAGTGCCAGGGTCATTTCTGCCTCCGTGACTTCAATGTGAATGGGCGTCCGCTGGGGGCCCTGGATGCTGGTGTCCTCGTCTGCAGCATATAATTTGCGATAGTGCGTTTCCAGCTGTTTAAGCTGGGTCTTGGGGTCTTGCAGATGTCCACCAGAATCTCGCAGTTGAACCTTCGGCTTGGAGGATTTGGGAGCTAGTGTGCGAATGACAGCATAAAGCTTACGGGAGTCACCTGAACTGGCAGCAGCCTGTAGTTCCTGGAGCCTGCCATGGAACCAGTGCTTCTTGGCTTCTTTCCCGGCACGACGAAAG